CTCACCTCAGCCTCCCAAAGGCGCGGGATTACAGGCTGAGCCACCGAGCCCGGCTAGGGATTACTTTTAATCATCTTAATTTTCTCCCCTCCTTTCGGATCAAGGTCTTGGATAAAGAAACAGTGTCCTAAGAACTAGACAGCTGAAAAGATCCATTAGAGAAGCGGTCTTTTGCCTAGACGATTCACAGAATAGAGACCTTTCGACAGACACACCTCTGTGCGGAAGTGGTAGAACCCTGGACAAAAAAAGTGAGGAACACATCTTTCAGGGAGGCAATGGCTTTCAAATTCTGTGCTTGTTACTCATAGTAAGAAACAGATTTTATATTGCCTTAGGTGTGTGCATTGTGGGTGTGTGTGAATTTATGAGAAATACATCTTACATCCCGACAATATTGGGTTGGTGTATGTCACTTTCTGGTGAAACCGTCAAATGAAACCTCCTTACACATGCCGTGATTCTGGTATTTTCTAATCTTTTATTCTTTTGTAAATGCCGTCTTGACCCACTGAGTTGATCTCCTGTTCCATATTTGCAACAGAGCAGCCCACAGGCTGAAGCCCCGCACATACACTCAGGCGGGTCTCTGCCTTCCCCGCCTGCCCCCTTGGCCTGTCCTGTGTTGTCCACCCAGTTCTCACCACGACCCTGCTGACGCTGGGTCTTTGTGTCATTGCTCACCACGCCCCTTTTGCCTCTGCCCTTTGAGCAGCGGCTACTTTTCTTTTAAGCCTCTGCTTGGGGTCACCTTGATGAAGTTTTCCCCCAGAAACCTAGTCTCTCCCTCTTCCCCTGCGACTGCATTTTTCTTTGAGGAGTGGTGTCATCATCGGAGGCAGTTGCCTACACTGGCCGCCCCCTCCCTGCTGGACTGTGGAATCTCTAAGCGCGGGGGCTGTTGGACTTGTGGGTTCACCGTGGCAGCTTGATGCACCGCATCCGACACTTAAGGTGTTTGAAGACAGGTGATCCACGTGTGTTTGGTTTATGAAGTCTTTTGAGAGGAGAAGAAATGAACGAAACAGATGTTCTCTTGAAGGGAAGAGGGAGATGGGCCCGGTGATAATTCGGGGACTCAAGAGAGGGAGGCAGAGAAGCCATCCTTCAGGGCTCATCGTGGTCTTTCGTGTGCTGTTGGCTTTCTCATCCCGGCAACTCTTGGTCCTTCCCCATCCTCCAGCTTCTTGGAGCCTCTTCCATCTGACTTGGCTCCCAGCAGCCTGGGGCCAACTCCTGGAGACGGGGAAGTCTCCAACCCTCTCGGCTCTGAAAGGTGGGTGTGTAGGTCTGTGACGTTCGCAGCCATTTTGGGATGCGTTTTCCTATAGAATCATTGTTGTATATTGTGGACTGTTTCATATCACCATTGATATACTTCACGCACACTATGGGTTAATTTTGCTTTTGTGGTCTCTTCTATAAGCTTTCCCACGTTTATGACATCAATAACTTGTGTGCTGGGTTCCAAGTAATTAACTTCCAGAGTTTTTAGAGCATGACGATTTTCTGGTTGGACATGACTTACAATTAAGGTAATCCCGGCAACCCGGGTTTTACTCTGTAACCTACATTGTCGCTTTGTCGTATACATGTGCACACACTCACACACACACACACACACACACACACACACACACACACACATACACTTATGTAGACCTAAAATATTATTTGAAAATAATTGAACCATTTTTTCTGGAAGTTTTATTTGATATGGTTGGAGATTTCAAGCACAAGAATAATTGTAATTGTTTGCAAAGAACTGTATAAATTTATAAATAACTGTTAGAATGGCATGGATTAAAATTTAATTCTCTTTAGATATAATTTGAGATCATTTGTTCTCTCTTACAAGATGCGGTCTTAATTCTGCAGTATTTACTATAGCATTTAAGTGTTAAAATATATACAGGTTTATTAATGGATACTTGTAATTTTATGGACCAAATATTTCTGGATACTATTTATATTTATGACACATTTTTATGTAGGAATCTGTGTCTAGTATATTTTACTCAAACAATAGCATTGATTAAGAAATTGTTCTGTCTTATTGAATGTTACTTTTTTCTTTTTTAAAACACTAAAATTTCTGTATCTATAAACATCAAGATTTTTATTTTTTAGAAAAGTTGTTAAATAGCATGTCTATGTAAATTTAATATTAATATACTGACTGCTGTGTCCCATTCTAATTGTTAGAGCCCAGCAATGCTTATTTACTGATTTCCATGGTTGATTTCATGTCCACACTAATAATAGATAATATTTTTGAGTAAAGTAATTATACTGTTTTCAGGTTAATGACTTGTTAAATAGGAGGACCTGTGTTATATTTTAATAAAGAGCATATTGTTATGCCGGGCTCAGTGGCTCAGCCTGTAATCCCGCACCTTTGGGAGGCTGAGGTGAGTGGATTGCCTGAGCCCGCGGGTTCGAGACCCACCCGGTCAGGCGAGACCTCATCTCTACAATAAATCAAAAAATCAGCCGGGCGTGGTAGCGCGCGCCTGTAATTCCAGCTACTCAGAAGGCTGAGGCGGAAGGATCGCTGGAGCCCAGCAGGTGGAGGCTGTGGTGGCCGGGAGCGGCCACTGCACTCCAGTCTGGGCGACAGAGTGAGACTCCAACTCAAAAAAAAAAATGAAAAAATAAAGAGCATATTGTTGTTATTATAACAATGTATACAACTGCTAAGCTCCTTTATTTTTCTTACTATTCATAAGCCTCGAGTTTAATGAGTTTTTGTTTCATTTGTTAGACATTTTTGGCTCTCATAAACCAAGTGTTCCCTGCAGAAGAGGACAGTAAAAAAGATGTGGAAGATAACTGTAAGTATTAAGTTCACACTTTCAGCACAGAAAAGGCAGTTGCCCTTCCAAAAAATAAATTAGTGGTTAAGTTACTAGTACATTGTACTGATTCAGAAAAAAATCTAGCATTTTGATATGAAAGTTTGTGTGAATGGACGAGCTCACAAGTCTAAATTTATTATTGTTTCACATTTGCACTTTGCTGAAAGAGTCTCTTGAATGTTCTCTTAGTGTTATTTCAGTTGTGTACATGTGGGTAGTGGTAATAATTTCCTGAGGGTTGAGCTAGAGGTCTCTTGTTAACAATTTTGACAGTTACTTTGAACCTGATCTAGATTCAGGAGATTTTTATAGTAATCTATGTGGTTCAGCAGTTTGGAAGTTGAGTCCCTAGGAATTGTTTCACGTTAGTGAAACAAATAAACACAGGAAAAAAAAATGCTGCGTAGTAACTACTAATTGAAAAATTCATTTCAGCACCATATATCAAATTACAGCGTTAGTTTGACTTATAAATATCTTAGCATGTTTGCTGAAAAAAGCCTTTGTCCAAGGAGCAGACTGTGCTTATTCCTACATTTTCAAGATGAGGCAGTGATCATTTCATTCGAGGAGGTGGGGAGTATTTAAGCATTATGTATAGTTGTTGTGGATTTCATAAGAGAGGGCTGATATTAAAAGCTCCCCGCTGAAAAAGAAATAAGAGAAAGGAATAGATATGTTGTTAGTGGTTTTCACTGGAACTCGTGTTTGAGTAAGCCTGTGAGATCTCCTGTGGGAGAGCATGGAATAGTGGGGTGATGGGAGAGCCATGGGCTTGGGGACAGGCAACCTGCATGCTGAATCTGAGGCTGCAGGATGCAGTGATAGACTCTTTTTTTTGAGCTGGAGTCTCACTCGTTGCCCAGGCTGGAGCGAAGTGGCAAGCTCACAGCCACCACAGCCTTGACCTCCTGGGCTCAGGCGATCCTTCCACCTCAGCCTTCCAAGGAGCTGGAACTATAGGAACACGCCACCACACCTGGCAAATTTTTTGATTTATTGTAGAGACAAGGTCTTGCCAAGTTGCCCAGGCTTGTCTTGAACCCCCAGGCTCAGGCAATAGTCTCACCTCGGCCTCCCAAAGTGCTGGGATGACAGGCTTGAGCCACAGCGCCTGGCCTACTAACAGACTCAATGGACCGAAGCCATCATCACTAGGTGCAAAGATTGAGAAAAAATTGTGGTGTTCCCTTTCTTTCCAAAATTGCTGGAAAGTTTTTCTGATTAGATAATAGCTTTTTTTAAAAAACAGAAATCAGAACAAAATAAAAAGGAATGAGACTATTATATCTAAAATAAGAGAAAGTTTGAGTGCAGAGAAAAGGAGACACTTCTGTGCTGTTGGTGGGAGCGCAAACTAGTCCAGCCTGTATAGAAAACTGTGAGGTGATTTCTAAAGGACCTAGACATTGACCTTCCATACCCAGCACTTCCCCTCTGGGAATATTTTACTTTACAAAAAAGACACCTGCACATTCATGTTTATGACAGAACGGTGAAGCCAACCCCACCGTTCATCGAAAGTAGACTGGCAAGAGAAAATGTACATACACATGATGGAATATTACATAGCCATAGAGGACAAAGTCATGGACTTTGCAGCAAATTGGATGGAGCTGGAGTAATCATCCTAGTTGATCTATCACAAAACAAAGAACCAAATGCCACATGTCCTCATTCATAAGTGGGACTTGAACATTTATCACAAAAAGCACGAGAAAGGGATCAGCAGTTGTGGGATGCTGCCAGGGGAGGACAAGGGGCATGTCACAGCACAAAGGATACCTGGCCTTAAATCCGGAGGAGTGAGGACTTCACCTGCACATAGATTGCTTCTACACCTATTCCTGACTTGTACCCCACATTTTTTTAATAAAGTAAAAAAGAAAAATTCAGAGGAAATTCTTTTCTGTTAAAACTTGCTAGGATATGCAGAGCTTGAGGAATGATGAATCCTTTTCCTATATTAAAGTGACTGTAAATGTCATCGGTGGCTTTGAATTGTTTTCATTTCATTTCTTAACTGAATCTCCTGAAACACCCTCCTTCCGGGGACACTGTCCTGATGTGCGTGCCCAGCCCGTCGAGGTTTCCAGACCTGGGTGGGTTCCCTGCCGCTTGTGCTGCCTTCCTGTTGGTCCAAGGGTGACCATGTGGATGCAACCTCTCCTCATTCCGTCACTTGGCCCTGTGTGAAATCCCTTTGAAACTGCCATCGATGAATGCAGCTTTGGTTGTTGGGTTAAAATGCAGGTTTTTCCAGCTGACGTGGTTCTGTTGCTTTTAGTACTTTTTGTTTGAGGCTTGCCACTACACTGTCCTCTACCAGGTAACACACTGGCATTGTCTCTCAGGGCCTCACGTGCACATTTCTGAAACCCTCTCCTCTCTGTTGTGGTAATCATGTGATGATTAAGTGACTCCATAGAGAACAGTCTGTAAGCCGGGCTCAGTGGATCACACCTGTAATCGCAGCACTTTTGAGAGGCGGAGGTGAAAGGATGGCTTGAGCCCAGGAGCTTGAGACTAATCTGGGCAACCTGGTGAGACCTCGTCTCTTAAATAAATGAATAAACAAACAAATAAACAACAGATAAATAGAGAACAGTCTATAGAATTGTCTATGGAGACTGAAGGATGTGGTAAAGGTTTTGCCGAAAACAGGCGTGTGTTGTCTTTTAAATGGAGGAGGTGGACGATGGTGAGGCCCTCCCGTTTTCTTTCATAATACCCTAATAATACAGCAAAACTTATTACATGCTTTTAGCTCTAAGTTTTCTATGTGAAGTGTTTTATCTCTAGAGATTAGTATGCTTATTTTTCCTTTTGACTTGACCGTTGGGTATTAAAACAAGAATAGGAAAATAATTCAGAGATGTGAAGTCAGTAATTAAAAGGAAAACAGTAGCATTTTTTCCTGTTGATTTTGAGTTACTGTGATGACATACATGGCACATATTATTCTATGTGAATTATCACCGGTTAGATACTGAGAATAATACAGTATAGAATATAAAACTGGAAGGAAATCCTAAAAGTTGCCTTGGTGTGGTCTCTTTTTCAGTACTGGCATGACTTCCACAACTATATAAATTTAGAATGAATTGACTTTTCCTAAACTCCTAAATGGAAATTGTTTGTGGGTTCCTTTTTTCTTTTCATAAATTAAAGCTGTAAGGATAAGTGGGGTCTCCGATGCTCAAATAGCTCCCCAGACAGGTCTTTGGATTTAATAACAAAGCCGTTAACAAAAGTCTTCATTCGAAGCTTTTCTGTGTGTTTTTTTTTTAAACATATTTATTGACTATGCCAAAGTGTTTTTGGGGAAACAGATTGTATTTATTCTCGTATTCTATTCTGAGTCTTATTTTAAAATTGCCTTTAAAAATTTAATATTCTTTTGAGTATAGTTGAATCATCAGGCATGAAAGGTAAACGGTTCACATAAGGGATTGCATGTAAAGAACAACCAGGTAATCCTAGGCCAGGCCTCGAGGAGGAGAAGGAGGAGGCTGTTTCAGAAACCCTGTGAGCCTCCTGGGAAGCCTCAGAGGAGAGGGAGGCAGTTGGGACTCACCGTTTCTCATCTGCCAAACCGATAGTTAGGAAGATTTTCCTCTCCCTCTTTCCCCACGTCTTCATGAGCGCCCGAGTAGCACAGTGTGAGCGAAAGACCCTCTTGTCCAAATTCTCACTGTCATCAGCTCATCCGTTAGGGAGTCACTGGGTTTAATCAACAGACATCCCCGAGAAGGCAGGTGATGAAGGAGCAAGTAATCTTTCACGCATACATCCAGGCTTCTGTGATGGCCTTTCCCTGGGGAAGCATGTTACGGGTTAGGCATTTTCACGTCGAGGAAGCGGAAACAGTGTCACACAACCAGGTGTTGCGGAGGAAGCTTAAGGGGAGTGGTCCAGCAGAGTTTGTAGGGTGAAGGGAGAGCAACTTGGAGACCAGGCCCCTGGGGGACGAGGGGGCAGGGAGTAGGATATAGAAAGGCATGCGACTACATACCCAAACAGGCAGGCCTCTGCTGCCTCACCCTCGCCAGATCCTTCCTCACTTCAAGGGAAAGTTGCCACTCCACTGTTGGGAGTCTTCCCCTCTTCTTCCTATCTGCTTTTTCTGCCCTGAGTTAGAAAGCAGTGAGGCAAAAGTGAGCCAACTGCATTGTGTGCGTGACAAGATGAGTGTAACAAGAGGTCCCTATCAGACAGCCCGGTGAGGTGTGGAACTGTATGTTAGGCCTGCAGGCAGGGTAGCGATGCGTCTTCGGGGAAGGGATCAGACAGACAGACAGACCAGTGCATCAGGCGACGTCCTGCCTGAAAGGATTAGACTTAGTGGACAAAACCAGAATGGAAAATTACCGTCAAGATACTGCGGTGTGTGTAAACACCATAAAGTACAAAGAAGAGGCAAATCTAGGACTGGTGGTAGGGGGTGGGAAGGTGTCACTTGTGAAGTCACTTTTGTGCTGAACTTGAAGGGTAGGTTGACTTTTGACACCTGGGGATGTAGGGGATATTCTAGGCAGAAGTCGATGCATGAAGGATATCTGGGTTCAACACGTAGTTTAATCTGCCTCCAAGTTAGACTGGGTTCAGGCAAGTTGTGGAAAATCGTGTGAAATGGAATGCAGGTTTATTAAAAGCCTTGCTCAGAAGCCAATATGGATGCTTGTAGTTGATAGAAACCCAATGATGTTTTTATGAGGAGGACAGCATTGAACTAGGGTTCCAGTTTAGTCAATGTGCTGGGCAGTCTGGATTAGAGAAGGGAGCACCTGAGACAATAGGTAAAATAAGAGGGTCACCTTGACCTCAAGAGAGATATTGAGACCTCAACTGGGATTGGGGCAGAAGAAATGGAAAGAAAGGAAAGAGAGTCAGAGATTCAGATTATGCTGGTGGTTGAGTGCCTGCCACAGACCTGGGAACGTGTGTGTGTGTGTGTGTGACCGAGAAAAGGGTGATACCAGTAACAGAAGCAAGGGTGGTGGCTTTTGACTGCTCCACGTGTGATGGAGATGAGGCTCGGAGTCTGGAGGTCTTGGGTTCGACTGGGAGTAAACCCTGATGTCACAGTAGAACCGAGGTCAGTAAAGCAAAGTATTGACTCTGATTCTGCCATTAGTTAGCTTCGTGTCTTGGATGAAGGCATATAATTTCTCCAAGGCTCTTAGGCATCACGTTAGTTGTAAGGAACTGACACAATGAGTTGATGATCTGTCTCTTTCTACATTTTTTTTTTTTTTTTAGAAAGTGGGATTTATTGAGAGGACAGAAAAGCTCCCACAGTGGAAGGGGACCCGAAGAGGTTGCCCCCTTTCTGAATTTTTATCTTTTGTGTTTTATTGTAATATTCTGAGCAGCAGACTGAACTAACGTCATTACTTTGTTGTGTCAAAAATGTATTAAAATCAGAGCTATGGTAGAACTTTCCACTGGAATTGTACTTGATTTTTAAACCAGTCTTCATCAGGTGTACTCCCCTAGCTAGAAATTCATTGTTTACAACTGTCACTGCAACACATATGTAAACTGGGTGTCTTTTAAATCAGCATCTGGGGTTTACATGGACCAGGGTTTTAAAAAGATGAAATTAAATCTAACTTAACAGCTGAATTTTAGGTTGGGTCAAAGTGATTCAGTTTGAGATAACATTGTTTTCTTTACTTTCTTCAACTGTCTAATGATTTACACATTTTATGTCCTAGGTTCACTAATGTATTTAAATGAAGCCACGCTCCTTCATAATATCAAAGTACGATATAGTAAAGACAGAATTTATGTAAGTATTTTGCCTGGGGTTTAAGTTTTTGTGGCGGTCATTATTTTACGTGCTATGATTTGATTTCTGTCAGACTTACACTTTTCTAAGAGAAAATCATGCTTGATTTGAGCCCGTTGAATAATGTGTGAACTCCATGAAGACAAAGTTGTTTTCTGGTTTACTGCCCTAACTCCAGGGCTTAGAAAACACCTGAAGCCGGGCTCGGTGGCTCAGCCTGTAATCCTAACGCTTTGGGAGGTTGAGGTGAGTGGATTGCCTGAGTCCGCGGGTTCGAGACCCGCCTGGACAACTTGGCAAGACCTCATCTCTACAATAAATAAAAAATATTAGCCGGGCATGGTAGCGCGCGCCTGTAATTCCAGCTACTTGGAAGGCTGAGGCGGAAGGATTGCCAGAGCCCAGCAGGTCGAGGCTGCGGTGGCCGGCAGCAGCCACTGCACTCCAGTCTGGGTGACAGAGTGAGACTCTAATTCAAAAAAAACCAAAAACAAACAAACAAACAGAAAACAAAAGAATACACTTGATACATAGTAGATACTTAATAAATATTTGTGAAGTGAAATAATGAATTCAGAGCATCATCTAATATTTTATACTCAAAAATGTCTACTTTGTGTATTAAAAAAACACTATAATTATTATTTTGGGTTTGATTTCTTATTTTTGGTATGTGTCTGTAGATCTGTTTAATTAATTCACTTTACACATGGTTCTGCAGAGAGCTTAAAGTAGCATAGAAAGAGTGTATATTGAAATAAAAAATTTGAATAAGGAAAAAAATGTAAATGAGAACAGAAGGCGGTATCTGAGGAGATATCAGGATCATAGAAGTACTGACCCTAGAGCCTACATAGTTGCAAAACTTAAAAGTCCAGAATATTAAAAAAACAGAAGACAGATCTTTCCGTGTAAATAGTCAGGGTTCACACCAAATCATTCAGTTGGATACTTACTTAACTAGTATGTCTCAATTATAATTATTCATGGGGCACGGGCAAGATTTTATTCTAATATGGCCTAGTCATAGATTCCTTTGTTGGCTGGAGATAAATTACCCCACTGTGGTTCTCCCGTTATTAAGATGAGGACTCTTCATTATTTTTGAACGAAGAAAACACATGGCTTCTTTGACACTTACTGGATCAAATGACTGTTTTAATCTTTTATATCACTATCAATTTGCCTAATTGTACTTACTTAATTCTGGCTAAATTACATTTAGTCTTTGCCATCTGTCCAAGGAGTGACAGCTGGGAAGTGGAACCGATCTAGTCTCTTCCAAAGAGTCTCCTTGCCACCTTCCAGCTGTGTGCCGTATTAGGACTTACTTTTCTTCTTGATTCCTTTCAGAATCAAAGATGACATGTATTTAGGCTTAAAGATGTCCGTTTTGGATGAGAAATACAGATAGAAGAAAAATTCACTCAGCTGACTCAGATTGATCGCCTACTGTGTGCTAAATTCCAAGCTTAAAAGCTAGCTTGGGTGGCTCACTCAGCATTTAGCCCATCAGGCGGTGTTCTAGGCAGTGGTTAGCATGTGCTGTTTTGCAGAAATCTGGAGTCAAATGGCTACCCCAGAGCTAAGTCAGTCCTGGCGTTTAGTGATAGGAATGGGCCCAGAAGGTCTTGCGAGCTGTCCTGAACTCTTCGGTAGCAGGGTGGATAACGTAGGCGAGGAGTGTTAAGTGACCAGAACCCAGCTGTAGGTGTAGAGCCTCGAAGAGGAGACGTCATAAGGATGAGGAGGATCAGGGGATGAGGACTGAATGAGACCTGGCTGGAGACTCAGCTTCTGTCTGTGGTGCTGGTTGGTGATGTCCTACACCTGGGAGAACAGGACGCGTGGAGAGTGTTGTCTCCGAGGCAGAAGTAGGTGGGAAGAGATCATCTTGACTTTGGGCATGCTGAGTCTGAGATGTCAGTGGGTAAGAAGATAAAATTACTGATTAAGGGTTGGAGGAGTATGGGTCCCCTAGAGATCAGGGAACATTTAGGGGCTGGTTTTGGAGCCCTGGTTATCTAGGGAATTGAAATTTTTGGTATTGTTTTTATGCTCCCATGAGCCTTGCTTAGCTTTAAATGGACACAGTCATTGTTGTATGTTTATGCTTTTCACATTTAGACGTATGTCGCCAACATTCTGATTGCGGTGAACCCGTACTTTGACATACCTAAAATATATTCTTCAGAGACAATAAAGTCCTATCAAGGGAAGTCTCTTGGGACAATGTCACCTCACGTCTTTGCAATCGGTAAGATATTTAATTGTGTTTCCTTCTATTGGGCAAATCCACTCTGTTTTTCCTTTGGATTAAAGAGAGCTGTCATGGTCGATTATGCACTTTGGAGGGCCTGTGTACATCCTGGGTGTGTGTCCCCACTGTTAGGAGCAAGTATTTCACACAGGGTGGCGAAGAAGACTTCTGCAGCCACCTCCTGGCGGGTCACACATCGTGGTCTTTGTCACATGCCTGTGTCCCCTTGGTGTGTCCACCCAGTTGAAGTAGGAGGTCATGAAGGCTGACCTGCTGGCACTTTGTGGCTTCTCAATGCAATCAGCTCCATCTTGAGTGTCTTCCTTCTCAGGCTGGGGCCCACCTTCCTCTCCCTCCCAGCTGGTTACTTGCGAGTGTGTTCCTTGGGCTGGGTTTGAGCTGTAAGAGCAGACGGCTGTGCCTCAGCTTGTACCAGAAGGAAGCTGAAAGTGGAGTGTGCTTCCTGTCCCTGGGAGGAAGGACTGAAAGTGGTGTGTGCTTCCTCTCCCGGGAGCCTGTGTGAGAAGACAGTAGTGTGTGTCTGCCTTTCTCGGCCTCTTTTTTTTTTCTTCCTGAAATCCTCCTCCCCTGAGGCACAGAGAGGTAGAGCTGCTTGATCAGAATTAGAAAGCATTCCTCCCCTCCACCAAGTGCAGAGACCCTTTGTTTCCTGCTAAAACCGGCAGCTAAGTGATGTGCTCTGGAACTGGTTGCTGGTGCAGTCTTTTTCTCCTCTCGGGCTTCTTCATGCTTGTGTTTTGGCTTAATCAGGCTTCATTTCCAGATTTGGTTGACCTGTGTGCTGTGTGCTACTAGGCGGAGGAAATATGTCAGCCACACCCAGTGCAGCTACAGATTTGCTTTTGTCCCTGGGAAGCTCTGGCAGGCATCGGTATTTCTGTGTGGGCCTGTAAAGTGGTGTCCAATCCTTAGAATCTGATTGCGAGCAAGTCCATCCCTGGAGGGAGTTTCATGTTTTAACTATAAACAAGCCAGCTTTTAGTGTTAGCCTTTTTCTGCTGAAAAAGGTGTTTGGAATGATTCTGTGAAAGTTGGAATAGGTTGATAATAACCTGGACTAAGGGCTGTGTACCCCGGGCAGATGACTGTGTTCTCCGTTAGAGTAAAGGCTATTTGTGAAACCATCTTTGCTGATGTGCGTAGCACAAGTCTGAGGTGAGAAATAGTGGTCTTACAGAGCCAAACTGGGGCAGGAAGAGCCTTTGAATTAAAATTGTTTTAATTTGAGATTGCTTTAGTAATATTCAGTTGTTTCAATCTGCATAGTCTTAAAATTCAAGATATTTTATAGGCTGAATTGTTGGGTAATGAAGATCGTTAGAAATTATATATACAAACAACAGTGCAACAGGGAAATTCAAAGCAGTTAATTTTGCCTGTCTTTGAAATGTTGGGGTAAATTCTGCAAGGAGCTTAAAGTTAATAGTAATATTACAGGGAAAAACCCCACAGATGTGTTTTGCAATTCTATATGTATTTTTTGCAGCAGAATTTTTGGTTGCTGGATTTCTTAATTGGAAGTTGCTCCTTCTTGTTTTTCACTGGGGACTTCATTAGTTCTGCGCAGCGACCGTTTTTATCCCTTTAGACCTGCTGTGGTGTTAGGGAGAGCTGAGCCCAGCTCATCACCTCAGAGTTGTTTCTTTGGATTTCATGTTCCTTAGCTGTTAGGATAATCAGATAGAACACTGGCAGGAAATGCTTTCAAAATAAACGTTTCGAGCACTTTTCAATGATCTTTTAGAACGCCACTAATTTTTTAAAAATTATAATATATATATTTTATTTTTAAGTTGTGGGGTACAGTTAAGGGTTAGGTATACAAATATGCATTGTTGAGGCACCCTTGTTGATAAGGGGTGTCTCCCCATCCCCAGACAGATACTGACTACCGTTAATCCCACCTCCCTTCCCCTCCCTGTCCCCCCTCATAGTTTCCTGCCACTGTCCATCCTTTTCTTATAGTATTATGGTAGTTGCTCAAGGACTGCTTTGAGAACATGTGATGCTCAGATCTTTGTTTCTGTGAGAGATCACTCAGTATTATAAACTCTGATTCCATCCAGGTTGATGCGAAATTCATGATTTTGTTCTTTTTTATGGCTGAAAATGCCACTAACTTTGAACACTTATTTATGATGTCTTTGAGAGCAAGTGCTTCTCCAGAGAACTTTCTGTTATTTACCAACTTTGTCTTTAATAGATCGTTCATCGTTAATGTGTTCTTTTGACCCTAGCTGATAAAGCTTTTCGAGACATGAAGGTCCTCAAGATGAGTCAGTCTATCATTGTATCTGGAGAATCAGGAGCTGGCAAAACAGAAAATACAAAATTTGTCCTAAGGTGAGTATTTAGCTAATCAGAAGTGCCTTGAATAGGGTGACATTTTTTTGTGCATGGTAAAAAATGCACAATGTGAAATTCATCAGTGGAACCATTTCCAAAACGTATTAGGCCTTCGTAGCGTTAGCACAACCAATCTCCAGACCTTGTCATCTTGCAGCGCTGAAACTAGACACCCACCGGACAGTAGCTCTCTCTTTCCCTGCTCCCTGCAGCCCTGTGACACCATTCCATTCTCCGGTTCCATGAATGTGACTTCTTTAGATACCTCATATAAGCAGCATCTCAGTATTTGTTTTTCTATGGCTGGCTTATTTCATTTAACTCAACTTAAGATTCATCCATGTTGTAACATGTATCAGTTTTTTTCCTTCCTTTTCAAGGCTGAATAATATTTCATTATAAATATATGCCACACTTAGTTTATTCATGTGTTTGTTGATGGACACCTGGGTTACTTCCACCTCTTGGCTATTGTGAAGAGTACGGTTATGAACATGGGTGTGCAAATGTTTCTTTGAGATTTTGGACTGGTTGACTTTCAATGCCTTTGCATACTGATGGCATCATTTGGAAAGGTGGGCTCTATCCCTTTTAAGAAACAGACACACTTCCTGTGAGCCTCTCAAGCTAGAGCTTAAATACTCACCACTGGGATCGAAAAGCAACCAATCAGCTTTACCATAAGGCTCCTACCTCCTACTGATTGGTCCTCAGTACTGACCAGTCAGAACAGCTACAGCTCACAGCTAGTGCTAGCCAATTGGTTTGAATTTAGGGCTATATAAGCACCAGGTTTTCAGCCCAGATGGGCAACCCCTTCAGGTCCCCTCCCCCTGTGGCAGCTTCTCTGTCCTCTCAATAAATCCTACTTACTCAAAAAAAAAAAAAGAAAGAAAGAAACAGACACCTTATTTGGAAGCTAATCTATAGATTGCTGAAAGCCAGCTCTGACATGTTATTTACGTGAAGATCCTGGAGGTTAGGCAAAAGGAAACCCAGGAATGTTCTTGAGATCAGCATCCACATTCTATTCCCTATATTTTTGCTGTTAGCACGGTTGGAGCCATTTTCTACCCTTCAACTTGTGCGGGTTGGCCTCTTCCTTTCTACATCCCCCACATCCCTCCTCCCAGTGTGACCCCTTTGATGCCACTGAATTAAACTCTGCGCTTTGTTTAGAATTATAGCACTTCAGTGGGGCTCGGTGGCTCAGCTGTAATCCCTTGCCTTTGGGAGGCTGAGGTGAGTGGATTGCCTGAGCCCGCGGGTTCGAGACCCGCCTGGGCAGCGGGACCTCATCTCTACAATAAATCAAAATATCAGCCGGGCATGGTAACGCATGCCTGTAATTCCGGCTACTTGGAAGGCTGAGGTGGAAGGATTGCCGGAGCCCAGCAGGTTGAGACTGCGGTGGCCGGGAGCGGCCACTGCACTCCAGTCTGGGCGACAGAGTGAGACTCCAACTCAAAAAAAAAAAAAAAAAGAATTATAGCACTTTAAGCATGAATGGAACCATAGCATGCATTCTAATTGAGTTCCTTTGATTTAATGCGCACGGAGGTTACCTCTTGTGGTCAAGCTGCTGCTTCTGGGCCCAGCACCTTCGACAGTGATGATCCCACTGAATCCTTTGGAGATTGTGCTGTTCATTAGGTCGATGTCTGTGCTATTCAAAGTTATTCATACAAAACCCATCGGAGAGTTTGTTAATGGCTGCCACGTGTATGCAACTCTAGGGTTTGATGAATGTTTCACAGTACTCTTGGAATTTTAAGTAGCTCAGTTCCATCTCCTGTATGTCATAGTCACATGTGAGTCTGTGGTTCATATAGGGCAATGAACAAAAAGTGAAGAAGCTGTGAACTTGCAATGTGAACAGAGTGTAAATCAAGGATATTTTTTTGTTGGTGTGTGCCAAAGCCAGTAGATGCCCATTGTGTTTCATCTTCTGGTGTAACATGAAGAGTGGTGACGTCCCAGTTGCTCAGTAGCCATGTTTTCTGTAGCTGTGAAGATTGAATTCAGAGGCTGTCAACAAAAGACTGCAGAATCTCATGTAGTTGATGTTTGTTCCCATGTAAAATGTGTGATCTATTTAAAATCAAATAGTTGGGTAAAAATCAGAATATCCCCAAACAGTTTTTAAAAAGGATGCTGGTTTAGATGTTGACAAAAATCTAGTATAACAGCTATCGATATAGCATTTACATTGCATTAGGTCCCATAAGTACTCTAGAGATGATTTAGAGTATACAGAAGGATGCACATAGGTTGTGTGCAGCTACTGTGTCATTTCATACCTGAGACTTAAGCAGGCTAAATCCAAATCGAATTTTAAGTCAGTTTGAAAAGCTCTCATAGAATAGTTACTTTTAGGTATAATTTGCAATTTTTAAATAAGAGTTGTAATGATGATCCAGGTTTTAGTTTTACATGTACTAAATAATATTGAAATAATAAGCATATGTTGTAATTGTTGTCATCTAAATTTTTTTTTTATCCTGTATTTTAAATAGATACCTGACTGAATCCTACGGAACAGGTCAAGATATTGATGATAGAATTGTTGAAGGTATTGTCAATTTTATTTTCTGTCATTATGCATGTGCTGAAATTAATTTATGAGAGCCCTTTCAGTGGTCTGGAATGTTCTTCTTTCAGAGATGCAAACAACTCTCCTATCTCCTGCAAATTCTTGCTCAGACATCGCTCTCATTTGCTTAATATCTATTATCTCTCCCCCTCTCCCTCCCCATGTAAACACCAAGAAGGCAGGGATTTTGTTTTGTGTCCCAAACCCCCAGGACAGTACCTGATACATAGCATTAATATCTACTGAATGAATGAGAGAAGTACAGGCATCTCTTTGGCTTCCTGTTTGTTTTGTGGACTTTGTTTTTGGTAAAGAAGGAAAGAGGAAGAAGGATTATTTGGTGTGGAGGTGCTTTTTTGGGGGGGAAATCGTTTGAAGGAAAGAGTACGCTTAAGGTCGGAGTGTGTACATTGATTTCCTGTCCATGCTTGGGCACCTTTTTAGAACATGGAATCTCATGCAGTTGATGTTTGTTGCCACGTGAAATGTGTGATCTATTTAAAATCAAATAGTTGGGTAAACATCAGAATATCCCCAAACAGTTTTTTAAAAAGGTGCTGCTTTAGATGTTGAAGGCAATCCAAACAGAATTTGAAATAAGTTTGAAAAGCTTATAATAGCGTTCCTGTCCATGCTTGGGCACCTTTTGAGAACGTCTTCTGGCGCCTCAGTTTGGGGATACCTGGGGTTGGCGGTGGTCCCCCGTTGATGTTCTTGTGTCTCCTGAATCCAGTCTCTGCGTAGAAGCTAGATGATCTCTTTGGCTTTACATCTCGCAATGGCTGCTGCTTATTGCATTCAGTGTACTGTCCCCAATTGGTAACGTCGCCTGCAGTGCTCTGCATGGCCTGGCCCCTGCCTTTTCTGGTCTCATCTTGAGTCCTGGCTTTTCTGCCTCGTTATGCTTTAACCGTGTTGCTCTCCTCGTCATTCTTTGAGCCATTTTTGGCTTCTCTGGACACGTTTTCTCCTTCCCTCCTCCCTTTCCCTCGTTAGGTGACCCATAAACATTTTAATAACTTAGATGGTGGTCGTTGCCTATGTAGGATGTGTTAGGTGCTGTCTGATTTGTTTAAAATCTGTTATCTAAAGTAAATCTGCACAGAATGAAGTAGGTACCATTTTATTCCTACCGGAAATACAAGAAACTGAGGCAGCAGTTAGCTGAAGATGGAACAATTTATCAGTGTGGAAGTGAGATGTAAATCAGGGCTTCATGCCCAGTGCTGTACTTTAAAAATGCATGTTTTAGCACTCTCCCGACTTTTTTTTTGAAGAGATGGGGTCTCCCTATGTTGCCCAGGCTGACTACAACCTGCTGGGCTCCAGGGATCCTCCTGCATCAGCTTCCTGAGTAGCTGGGGCTACAGGCGTGAGCCACCATGCCCTCTTGACATTTAATGAAAAATTTACTGGAGCCTTCTATGCTCATGTATTCTGGTAGATTATATCTAGCAAATGATGTGTGCATTTTTTCATAATGATGTAAGATATGCATGTAGCTCATCTAAATATAACTTGTAAATCTTTTAAAAGCTGAGCATCAATGAGACTCTTCATGTCTTTTAATATAAAGATTTCTAATTTTATTTACAGTTTTTACTGTGGAATTGTGACACACTCACAGTTGTGTACTTATCTCATAAGTAATGCTTTATTCACAGTAAAGCACCTTACTTTAGTGAGGGAATCATCCTTAAAAATTGAATAAATGGATAAAAAAAAAGTTGTGGGTTAACTCAGTAAAGCATTCTGATTTGCTTACCTGAGGTGCAGACACTCACTTGAGAATTGGATAGAAGCCTGGTTCCCTCAGGAACCAGGAGACTGAGAAACTGGGACTCTACCGGTGTGCACCACCATGCTTGCCTAGTTTTTAAAAAAGTATTATGCAGAGATGGGAGTCTTGCTGTGTTGTCCAGGCTGTTCTCAAATCTCTGGGCTCAAACGGCCCTCTTGCCTTGGCCTCCCAAAGTACTGGGCATGAGCCACCGTGCCCAGCACCCAAATGTTTTTATAGCCCCTTAATGGAGAAGGAGTAGATGTAAGTGCATGGGCATGGAATCTTTTGGTGCCATCTTTAATGGAAGTTTTATTGTTGGTTTTGGAATGAGTATATTAGTAAGAGCACCTCTGTGATTTTCTAATGGAGTGGTTCTTACCTTGTCTTGGGATATTTCACTTATATTAAGTTCTTCAGCAAAAACTAGTAGATTATCAGTAAGGGAGTTGGGAGACTTGTCATTCCCTGATTTGTCAATGGTAGTCCTGTGGCTTTCTGGGAGTTAGTTGACCTCATTGACTTCAGTTTTTTCGGTTGAAAAGTGAGGGTTATATGCTGCTATTTCTTTCATTGTAATACTTTCTCATTTATTTCAACAAGTGAAATGACTGGGGAATAGTGTTTAAAAAGTTTGGAGACTAGTTGAGCTTTCTACTATGGATGGAATAGGAGAAATAGACTCTAAAAGGCTTCATAGGAAACATCGCAAAGCAATTTGAGTTTGTTGATGGAAAACGTGTAAGATAAACACTAATCTGGTGTGTTTCTAGTTGAGGCTTTGGTGAGTACAAGCATAGTCTATAGTAAACTCTTTCCAGTCATGGGGGGGGGGGTGTGTTTATAAAATAACAATTAAAATGTTATATTTGTTCATTGGGATTTTAAAAATTATTATTCTGAGCCCCTTTCTTAGGTAATTCTGTAAATCTGGAGGTATATTAATATATCAAATGTTTTAGAAAAGTAAGTCAAGTAATACATTTTTTGTCTGTATTTTGTCCCAAGAGGCTTGGAATTTTGCCTATTATCATCAGTACTCTGGTAAGGCTGATGTACTTGCTAAAAACCTTAAAATTTTGGGGGATTAATTTTTAAAATTGAGTTATACATTTTCCAATGTAGTGATTTTTACATGTTTAGTATTTCCCATAACATTTACACTTTCTTTTAATGTATTTTGAGTAATTTTCCCATCTCCTGAACTTGAATAGTGCTTAAACATTGTGGGTGGTCAGTAAGTATTTGTGGAATTTGACATTACATGTAAATTCTTTTATGTTAGTATTTTTACAACATTTTCTCTAGCCATATATATATGTGTGTATATATATATATATTTATTATTAAATGGAAGCATACTATGCATATTTTATAATTTCCCTTTATGCTTGTGTTTTGATGGGACTGTTTTGTTTATTTCTCAATAGCTAACCCACTCTTAGAGGCCTTTGGAAATGCAAAGACTGTTCGTAACAATAATAGCAGTCGATTTGGAAAATTTGTAGAAATACATTTTAATGAAAAGGTAAGTGAGTGTGAGTTTGGGGATGATATGTTTGGGTAGTGTTTGTGGAAAATACAAGGTTCTTGATAGAATTGATGCTATACATGAACTTATGGTAAGTCCGTTTAAGTTTTTCTGTAACATTAGATGGTTAGGAGATTATATATATTCACTGTGACCATCTAAAAATCTCCTTTCACAATTTAAAACCCAAATATTAAATTTAACTTCAGTATTGAATAGTCTTCCTGTAAGATGCTCATTCTAGCACCTGGGTTGAGGTATGGTGCAGGGTAAATTCTGAATCTACAGAAGCTCAAAACAGAAGGATTTGGGTTGAGACTTAAATGAAGATGTTTAAAATGAAGGATGACCTCTATAAATATTCTAAACTTGTTTAGTTATCTGTTTGTTCCCCCTCTTATTTGATGAATATTATAATCTCTTTGATAGACACATATATATTAAAAGGGTAAATAATTTAACACTGGTGAATTATCCTTTGAGACTTTAAATGCATTTTGCATTTTCTCTCTGTTTTGTTTTTTAGAGCGCAGTTGTTGGAGGATTTGTTTCACATTATCTTCTAGAAAAATCTAGGATCTGTGTTCAAGGCAAAGAGGAAAGGAATTATCATATCTTTTATAGGTTGTGTGCAGGTGCTTCTGAAGATATTAGAGAAAAACTTCATCTGAGTTCCCCAGATAATTTTCGGGTAAGTTGGAGGAAAAGGAATTTTGTACACGTTTCAAAAATGGAATTTCCTTCAATTCTAAAACTTACTTGAGTGGATTTTCACATCTAGTCGTATGTGTATAGCTTACATGAGGTCAGGTCTAATGTGCTGGAATGACTGATGTCCTGAGGCGATCTCTATGAAGGTTTGCTGCTGAGTTTATAATATAGCACTCTATGAGGAAGTACGTAATAGGATAGATGAAGGCTATCAATTTAAACTCAATTAGACATTTATAATAGTTCTATATTAAAGTTACCTTTCGCTTATCTGTAAAAACGTTTGAACACTGAGTTAATATTAACAAAGGACGCATGATTATATTTCTTAATTCAATTAAACAAATATTTATTGCTTGCCCATTGGGTGCCAGTCATTGAGCCAGGGTTAAAAAGATACATAAGATGCAGGCCCTGCTGCTGAGCGACTTAGGCTGTGGTGGGAAACGGACAGCCAGACACACACACACACTCACTCACAAGGCTGATAAGTTGAATGATAAGAAAGGTATGCATGGAATGCGGTGGCAGCTTGGGATTTTGGAAAGGCTTACTGGGAGAATTGATTGCCTGGGTCAGAGGCCTGAAGGATTATCAGGTGTTACCTAGACGCAAAGGGCATTTCTGGTAGATGTAAAAAAGATGGACAGAGAAAGGTCAGAGGCTTCCTAAGGGGTAAGGCAGGAAGTGGGGGAGGGGGTGAGGCTGGTTAGTGGTCTGCTGCCGTAAGGAGCTACTTGAAGGGCTTTGGGTAGAAAGTTAGGAATCAGATCTGTGCTTTTCTTTGGCTTGAATGTGGAGGATACCTTTAAGTGGGTGGGTATTGGAGCCAGTGGATAAAATTGGAAGCCACAGATAGACTGGTTAAGAACTTCCAGCTATTGTTGAAGCTAAGAGTTACCAACGTATTTGAGTTGACTTAGTAATGGCAGAGTTAGAGAACAGGGGGTGTGCAAACTATTAGGAGATAAAATTGATAGGACTTGGGGACTGAATAGGGAAGGGAGGAGGGGGAGTCCAGAATAACTTTCAGAGTTTTGACTAGGGCCACTGGGTGGATGTAAATACGATGACTGGGGCCAGCTGTAAGGTGTGTGGCCTATAGGTCAAGTTCGGTTTTGAGCCCACAGGTGTGGCGCTGTTTGGAAGACAGGCACCTATACTCACCTGAAGATCAGCACCTGCTGGATAGGGCTTGAGTGTCGGTACTCTGGAGGTCGGTGAAACTGTGGGAGTGAGCAGACGAAGTTGTCCAGGGCGATGGCGTGGTGCGGCCTGGGCCAGGATCCAGCCTGGAGTGGAGAGTTGTGGGGGCGGGGGGGAAGGGGTCGTGAGGGCAGTGCACAGGGAAGGCTGAGAAGCACAGCTAGGGGAGTATTTCCAGAAGCCATGGCTGGGGGCAGTTGATGTAATTTGCAGATTCTAAGCTAGAAAGAAAATAGTGTCCTTGCATGGGGTGTGGAGAGGTAGTTTGTATAAAGTTCCTCAGATGATTCTGACGGTCCTCTCTGGGCAAATCTTCTCTGCTTGACAATCATGACACACACACATTCAATTACTGCTCTGTGTGTGTGCATGTGTGTGTTTGCAGACAACTTTTCTTTTACTTCAAGCAGATTCTCTTAAAAAAATTTTTTTATTTTAAAGACGTGGGGTGCAATTCAGGGTTAGGTATACAAATGTACAATTGTTCATTATGCAGGTACCCTTGCTGATGAAGTGTGCCCCCGCCTCCCCTGGCAGATTCCCACTACTGCTGATCCCACCTACCCCCCCCCCCAGTTTCCCACTACCAAGCAGTTTCATTTATTTTTATTTCTTTTTTATTTCTATTTCTATTTATTTTTTATTTTTTTTATTTTTTGAGTTGGAGTCTCACTCTATCACCCAGGCTGGAGGGCAGTGGAACGCCCCCGGCCACCACAGCCTTGCCCGCTGGGCTCAGGCTATCCTTCCTCAGACGTGTCTATTCATGTCTTTTGCCCACTTTTTAATGGGGCCATTTTTTTCCTTTCTGCATGTTTGAGTTCCCTGTAGAACCTGGATGTCAGGCCTTAGTCAGATGTGCAGTTGGCAAATGTTTTTTCCCATTCTGTGGGCTGCCTCCCCACTCTCTTGATGGTTTCTTTAGCTTTGCAGAAGCTTTTCAGTTTGATGAGGTCCCACTTGTCTGTCTTTTCTCTTATGGCATGGGCGCCTGGGGTTTTGCTCAGGAATTGGTTGCCTATTCCAATTTCTGTAAGGGTGTCTCCTGCATTTTCTAGCTAATTTTTTGTAGAGATGAGGTCTCAGTATGTTGTCCAGGCTAGTCTTAAACTCCTGGGGTTAAGTAATACTCCCGCCTCATCCTCTCAAAGGGCCAGGATTAAGCTACTATTATCCTGTTAAGTAAGAGCTCTTTTTTTGAAACAGACAATTGAAAATGCTTACCAACATAATTCTTTGTCTTTTCTCCTTTATTTTTTCCCAAAGATTTTAGGATATAAGAAAAAATTCTGTGTATATCATTGTTTGGCTTTTATTGTATTTTGGTATTTCATTATGATGGAGGAGAAATGACAGATGCGTGAATCATTTAAAATAGAAATTTATCCCCAACTCATTCAAATTAACACTCAAATTCATAAACTTTTCTTGAGAGAGAGATATATGCATACATGTATATATATGTATATGTATCATCCATATATGATGTATATTAATCTTGGAATTCATGCTGTGATTCAGTGGAATCATATGACCTGATTTAAGAGAAGCTGAGATATTTCAAAAGTTTTTCCATCCTGTTCTCTATGTGTTCCCTTCCTGACCGGTCATAAATGTGGGTAGTAGATTCTTTTGAGATCAATATGTTATTTTCTTCCAAGCTGCTTCCCTGATTCTATCTTTTAACAGCTTTTTTAAAAGACTCTGGGAAACAAAGTAAATCATTGAGATGAGAAAAACTGAAATTATTTGATCCACAAAGCAAGTATTGTAATTTAAGTACAATCATTGTTATCTGTCAGTAAATGTGAAAGGCATGTTTTAAGAATCATAAATTAAGAAAATCAAGGATAGTGTTTTTTAATTATTTCAGAATTGAAAATGTTACTTGAAATAGTAAACCACAGTGTGGGTCCTTATTTGAAATTTCCCATATCCAGTAGGAAAATGATTTTCATTATCTACAGGACTAATCTTATGGACCATATTTTTAAAAACAGTTGATACTGAGAAGATATAAAATTGTCACCCTTTAAAAAAGAAAAACTTTACTGTGTTGATTTTTACTTTAATTATTTTATTTAATCTACTTTTGGAGATTAGGATTTTTAATGTCTCCGGTTTGAATAATAGTAATAAAATGTTTGTAAAATATGGACGTGCTGATTTTAATTGAGAGATCAAACAGTCCTCAAGTCATGTTTAGAAATTCTTTGTAGTTGGCACTATTTAACAAGTTGTGTTTTCTCCTGTGTTATTTTCCTCTGGATCCTATCTGTTAATTGTAAATTATGCTGTAAATTTTTTCTTACAGTATTTGAACCGAGGCTGCACTAGATACTTTGCTAACAAAGAAACAGACAAACAGATTTTACAGAACCGCAAAAGTCCTGAGGTATAGTAGACTTTTTCCTTAAAATCCTTTTTGCAAAAAAAAAAAAAAAAAAAACCAACAAGTCTGGAAAATGTATTATATTTTTTGTTTTGGAGCCCAAATAAGATTTCTTACTTTTAGGCTTATACTTAAAAAAGGAAACTCTCATCCAAGTCCCTTCCCCAGTGCCATACTTTATGCCTCTGTTGGTGTCTGAGGACAGCAGGTGTGCCTCTTCTTGGCTGGGCCAAGAAAGCGCACGACTTTCTCTCTCGTCCTGTCTCCAAGAATGACGGTGTTGAATTGCCCGAGAATCATTCTCATCTAGCATTTTGAGACAGTATGCTCTCTCATATTGCCCGCTTGGGATTAAGTGTGTGTCTCCTAAAATTTATTGTCTACTTCAAGGCCGAAGCAAACTTTGACATAGACAGTAAATATATTAAATATTCTTATGAAAGGATGCTTAAGTATTCCTATGTTTCCCTTTATAACGTATTTCTGTAGTATATTATAAAAAGTTTTGTGTATTGGCCTCACTAAATTATTATATTGCCAAATGTAATTAGATTCAATTGTGCCATTAAGTATTACTTTAAAAACATTAAATCCCTAATCTAAAGCATTTAAGTTTTATATGCAGAGTTTTAATGCGTAAAGTTTAAGTAGCAAGTGGTATTAAGTTTCTAATTAAGGGGCTTACATTGGGAAGTATGAAACAAGGATTAATGATAGGTGCTAGGTGTAATAGCTTTTAAGTTAATTTTATTAAAATAGCTATACTGGGTATTTAATTGAATAAGTTTTTGTTATTAGTTCTTCTTTTTTTTTTTTTTTTTTTTTTTTTTAATAACAGTGTCTTACGCTATCACCCAGGCTGGAGTGCAGTGGCATGATCACAGCTCACTGCAGCCTTGACCTCCTGGGCTCAGGCGATTCTTCCACCTCAGCTTCTAAGTAGCTGGAATTACAGGCATGTGCCACAATGCCCAGATAATTTTTTAGTTTTTTTGTGGAGATAAGGTCTTGCTATGTAGCCCAGGCTGGTCTTGAACCCCTGGGCTCCAGCAATCTTCCCACCTCAGCCTCCTAGAGTGCTGGGATTACAGGTATGAGCCACTGTGCCTGCCTGTTATCATCAGGTTTTAATGCTTCTATACTTGTGAGTCAGATATTTTTGACTTTTCTTAAAATGAATGAGATAAATTGTCTTTAATATATTCATATGAAAGAAGGGAAAGCAAATGCAATTTCCCATTAGTTCAAATTCTAAGATGAATTTAATGCTAATTTTTGTTTATTTTGACATTTTAAGTATCATTTTAGACACAGATTCCGATTTATAAATCAAAGACTTTATATTGCTGCCACGGTTTGAACTCTTAAGGAGCAACATTAATATTATAGTATCTTCCTTTGTCTTGTTAAGAGTATATTTTTCTAAGATGTCAAAATATAGAAGTTGTATTCTTTCCACTAAGGTAGTAGAGGCATTTTCTAACAGGACATCGCACTGTCCTGACGGGGAAAAAGGGAATATAAATTGGATATTTTGGCATAGAAACGCTGAATAGAGAGAAAAGCAAGCTGGAGTTAACTCTTCCAAGAGCAGCATGCAGTCTCCAAAGTAGAAAACCACCGTCTTTCTGGTCCTACACTCAGTATACTTCATCAGGAATCTTATTGTTGAGTGTGTACGTGTGGGGTGGGATGGGTGAGAGTGTGTGTGCTTGTGTGCGTGTACAGGTGAACAATGGATTAATATGTTTAAATTACTTTCTATGTCTTCTTTATCAGGAGGATGAGGTGATCATTTTGACTAATTAAACCCTTTGCCCAATTCCATCTGAATGTCTTAAAGCCGTGTGTGATTTTTTAGAATAGTGCAGTATTTTTAGTCTCTAATAAAGCAAATATATTCATTACTTTTTGAATCGAAACAGTCTTTAAATGCAACAGGCTTTCAATTGCAAGACTAAAAATCCTGCATGAAGTGTGTTTCTGTTAACTTTGGCTGCATGTGATTGTTTCCTTTGCTTCTTTTAAGAATAAAATTGAATTTCGTTATCTAGACATTTTCCAGAAACGTCACACGTGCACAATTGAACATTTAAAAGAATTTTGTGGAAGGATAATGGCTGCCTTAGCTGGGAAGCATTTGTTTACTGGAAGAAAAAAACATCTGCTAAAGGCATCTTTAATGGCCTGTTAATTCTGGTGCTATGCTACCTAATGTTTAATTCTTCATTCGCAAGTTCTGGAAGATTTCTAGTTCAGTATTTCTGTGCCGTTAACTTTTATGTTCCTCCTAGTTTCTGCAGGCCTGACTTTCCTTCTTTTTTCTGAGTTTATTATAGGTTCTAACAAATGAATACATTGGATGCAAGTTCTTTTAGGAGAGACAGCACATTTTCATTTTTTTCTGAAATGTTTTGAGTTATCACATAAATTTTTAGAGTTAGCATAATGTTTACTAACATACTTTTTCTCATATATACTTATATAGAGAGGTTAAAAAAAATAATTCTCAGGCCATGAAAATTATATCAGCCTGTCCATTATTTACAACTGTTTAATATTAGTGCAGTTGGTGACAATTTACCAAAGAAATGTCATACTGATTGTCAGACTTAAATTTTTTATTACAGTTTTTAACTTAACTTTTCTTTATTTTTTATTTTTTTATGTTGGGGTCTCCCTTCGTCACCCAGGCTGGAGTGCAGTGGCAGGCTCACGGCCACCCCAGCGTCAAGCAGCTAGGCTCCGGCCATCCTTCTTCCTCAGCCTTCCAAGTAGCCGGAACTACAGGCGCACACTACCATGCCCAGCTATCATTATTTTTAATTGACAAAAATTGTGTATATTTGTACAATGCATTGGGGACAGTGTAATGTTTTAATATATGCATACATTGTAGAATAATCAAATTAATTATCATATTAATCACTGCCTCAGTTCCTTTTGAATATTGATTTATTTAGATATGGATATTGATTTGTTTTAACTACTGATATTCCCTGCTTTTTCACTTAATTTATATTGTTATCTAATATTCTAGCATTATAATGCTTTAGAATGAAAATTGTAACTTAATTGAAAAATATATAATTTTATTATTTCTTTTTTTTTTTCCCTGAGTCAGCGTCTCACTGTGTTGTCCAGGTTGGAGTACAGTGGTGTGATCATAGTTCACCACATCCTCAATCTCCTAGGCTCAAGCAATCCTCCCTCCACCTCCCAAATAGCTGGGACTACAGGCACATGCCACCATGCCTGGCAAATGAGAAAAAAAACAGACCAGGCTCAGTGGCTCAGCCTGTAATCCCAGCACTTTGGGAGGCCGAGGCACGTGGATTGCCTAAGCCCGTGGGTTCGAGACCAGCCTGGGCAACTTGGCAAGACCTCGTCTCTACAATAAATCAAAAATTAGCTGGGTGTGGTAATGTGCATTTTTCTTTTTTAAGAGATGAGCTCTTGCTGTGTTGCCTAGGCTGGTCTCAAGCAAAACTTTTGCCTCAGCCTCCCAAAGTGCTGGGATTACAGGCGTGAGCCACTGTGCCTGACCTTAGTTCTAGTCTTGTCATTGAAATTTTAATTTATAATAGTAGAGTCAGCCAACTAAATATATATATTATATAACTATAATTTTTAGTTACAAAAAAATAGTACAGAGAAATCCTGAGTACTCTTTGCTTAGTCATTCAGTTTTTGGATGTTAGAATATCAGAGTTTTCCATGGACAAAGTTTTTTTTTTTGCATGTTCCATAGTGCACTAAGAAACTTGGTGTGGTTGTATTTGTCTCCTTAAATCATATAAAGATCAGCTAATTGATGTCTTCTTGTTTTGTAGTATCTTAAGGCAGGCTCTTTGAAAGATCCTCTGTTAGATGACCATGGAGATTTTATTAGAATGTGCACAGCCATGAAAAAAATTGGCTTGGATGATGGAGAAAAGCTGGATCTCTTCCGGGTGGTGGCCGGCGTCCTGCACCTTGGAAATATTGACTTTGAGGACACCGGCAGCACTTCAGGTTTTCTTGTTTTTGTTCTTCAAAAAGAACCAATTAAACAGACTTTTCATCATTTCTTTGCTGTGGGAACCTTGAACCTATTTATGTGTGGGCTGATGGAGATTGCTAGAATACGCTGTGTTACATGGTGGATCTTGCAAATGACGAGTGCTTCCTTGTCAGTCACCGAGAGCTCTGCTTTGAACAGACCGGTGGTACTGATGAGAATAAACCTCTCATTTTTGAGGGAGAAGTAACTGACGACCACGGTCATTTCCAATTAAGTTTTCCAGCTGGTATTTTACTCTTCTGGTAGGTGAACAGAGTAATTCTCTATTCTCCATTAAGGCCCTTGAAATTTTTCTGGTTCCTTGGTCTCAACTTGGATCAGCTCATTAGAGCAATTTAATATAGAAAATCCCATATACTTTATCAATGAGAAATGAAAATAAAGTACACAATTTATTGTTAGGCACAAAAATATTTGAATGCCTAATGATAGCAACTTTTTCTTTTCTTTCTTTCTTTTTTTTTTGAGTTGGTGTCTCACTCCGTGACCCAGGATGGAGGGCAGGGGCACGCTCACGGCCACCCCAGTGGCAACCTGCTAGGTTCTGGCAATCCTTCTGCCTCAGCCTTCCGAGTAGCTGGAACTACAGGTGCGCGCCACCACGCCTGGCTAATTTTTGATTGATTGTAGAGACAAGGTCTTGCCAAGTTGCCCGTGCTAGTCTCGAACCCACGGACTCGGGCAATCCCCTCGCCTTGGCCTCCCAAAGTGCTGGATGGACAGACTGAGCCGCCGAGCCTGGCCGATAGCAATTTTTTTAGCTCTAGTGTTTTAGTCTCTACATAAACAGCAAGATTTTATACATAACTCTAAATTTGACCCAGGAATGCAGGGATTGGCAAGCTATAGCCCACGGGCTACTTCCTAATTTTTGTAAGTAAAGTGTTATTGAAATTCAGCCCCCTACCCATGCCTTTATGCATTTATTCTCTATGCCAGCTCTCATGGCACAGTGGCATAGTGAGTAGTTGCAACAGAAACTAGGTCCTGCAAACCCTAAAATATTTACTATCTGGCATCCTAGAGAAGAAGGTTGTCAACCCCTGTACTAAAACATTAAAATAGAACTGTATATCAGGGCGAGTTAAGAAAAACCCAAGGCATCACTTCCCATAGCAGCACAGTTATTACGTGTTTGTGTCAGGTCCCAAAGACTATCTGAGCCTCAGTTTCTTCGTTTGCGAAATGAAATGCTCCATGACAAGGACTTTTAGAATTGGGTCAGTATCCAGCTGGAATACTCAGGGGAAGGTGCACAAGAGGAAGGGAAAAAGGATGTGAAAACAGGATTCGTTCTGTGCAGACCCCTCCCGCTCTGTATGTCACTGTAAACATCATCAATCCGAACGTCACTGTGGTAAGGCAGGGGCTGGTGTCCCACTTTACAGAGGCAGAGGCCGTGTGGAAGGTGAGTGACTCTTGTGGTTATGAGTACAGTTTGGGGCGTACAAGCCTGTCCTGCTCAGGTCTGGGATTGCAAGCAGGAGCCGCCATGCCCAGCCACTTGTAAGAGTTTTAACTGTCATTAAAAAAAAAGTTTTTGACATGATGAAAATGTGCAAGATACTTATTGAAACTTATTTTTTTTTAAATGCCTCATAACAAATAAAAATTTGTAGCAACGAATTTAATAGATGTATGAAGCAGGTTTTCTTTTGGAAGGGAATGACAAAAACTTGACGTTATTTCCCAGATTTTTGCTTTTTTAAAACTTCTGAAAAATAACTGTTTCTATCTCACCCTTATGTAATTCCTGGATGTATGTAAGAAATTTTGCAATACAGTAACAGAGAAGAAATATTTAAGTAAATCGATGAATTCCTGGTCATCAGTTTTTCAAGTTACATAATCTTAGATAAAGTATACACGTATAGAACGAGTGTAAGCTCATTTTCACAGAATTAAAGGTTCAGTATTTTCTCCAAGTGTCTTTTTCCCCTTTCCTTTTTTTGGGTCACACCTTCTTGAGATAACCCACATACCTGTAGCTCACCCACGTCCGTGCTAGCCATCACTCCTTAGGGTCTACTTTTCTCAGCCCCAGGTGACCACTGACCACTGTCTCTATCCATTTGCCTATTCTGGGCATATACATGAAGCCCTTCGGTACGATCTTTCATGACTGGCTTCTTTCTCTTAGAATGATGTTTTCAGGTTTCTTCCGCGTTTTTAGCATTTTCAGCATTCTGCTTCCCCCAGTTGACGTTCCCTTCAGTGTATGAGGGTTCTGGTTACTCCACATCCTCAAAAATACCATCCACTTTAGCAACCTTGGTGGTCCCAAAGTGTGGTTTTTATTTGCGTTTTCCTGATGTCACATGACATTGAGTCTTTTCATGTGCTTATTGGACATTTGTGTATCTTTTTGGAGAAACGTCTATTCAGATCCTTGGCCCATTTATTACCTGGATTGTCTTTGTGACTGAGTTGTAAAAGCCTTATGTTAGGTGCACATCCTTTATCAGGTATATAATTTGAGAGTCTTTTCTGGCTGAGCGAGGTGGCTCAGGCCTATCATCCCAGTCCTTTTGGAGACTGAGGCGAGAGGATTGCCTGAGGCCAGGGGTTTGAGACCAGCCTAGGCAACTTGGTGAGAACTCGTCTCCACAACAAAAATCAAAAAATAAGCTGGGTGTGGTAGTGTACAGCTGTAGTTCCAACTACTTGGATGGCTGAGGCGGTCGAGGCTGCGGTGGCCATGAGCATGCCACTGCCCTCCAGCCTTGGCAATAGAGTGAGACTCCAACTTGAAAAAAAAGGAAAAGAAAATCTTTTCTCCAATTCTTTGAGCATTTTACTTGTTTGATGGTGTTCTTGGAAACACGAAAGTTTTTGATTTCTATCACATCCAGTTTATTTATATTTTCTTTTGTTGCTTGTGCTTCTGGCATTATATTAAAGAAATGGAGATTTATTTCAAGATCTTGAAGATTTATACCTATATTTTCTTTCTTTTTTTTGAGTTGGAGTCTCACTCTGTCGCCCAGACTAGAGTGCAGTGGCTGCTCCTGGCCACCGCAGCCTCGACCTGCTGGGCTCCGGCGATCCTTCCGCCTCAGCCTTCCAAGTAGCTTGAACTACAGGCGTGTGCTACCATGCCCAGCTAATTTTTTGATTTATTTTAGAGATGAGGTCTTGCCAAGTTGCCAAGGCAGGTCTCGAACTTGCAGGCTCAGGCAATCTACTCACCTCAGCCTCCCAAAGGCGTGGGATTACAGGCTGAGCCACCGAGCCCGGTTATACCTATATTTTCTTCTAAGAGTTTGATACATTTATGTCTTTGATTTCACTTTGAGTTAATTTTTATGGATAATGTGAGACAGGGGTTCAACTTCTTTATTTTATACTTGGATACCCGGTTGTTCCAGTACCATTTGTTGAAAAAGCTATTTTTTTCCTCAGTGAATTGTTTTAACCACCCCTTGTTTTTCATATTTCTTCTGAGGCTGATTTACTAAATAGTTTATGAATTGATCATAATAAAATTCTCATTATTATTTTTACACTTTTTTTTTTGCTGTTTTGAAGTTAGGTAGTCTTGGAATAGATCATTTATCAACATTAATCTTTGAAAATATCTAAAATATGTATTGTTTTTAATATTATAAATAAATGCACATAAATAACAGTTAACCTTTATGTAGTGCTTACTGTGTACCAGGCACTATTCTAAGCACTCCGCATATTCATCTTCATTTATTAATCTCCATAACAGCCATATAAGGCAGATACAATTATTATCCCAGTTTTCTGGTTGAGGGAGCTATTTGCAGAGAGAATAAGTAGCTCATTCAAGATCAGATGTAGCTAGTCGTCACAGAGCCAGATCAGCCCAGACATTGAAGCACTGCCTTACTATATAATACTATTTTGAAAAAAACAGCCTCTGTAGCTGGAAATCTATGGCTATGATGGACAGGTTGGGCATCCCTGATCCAAAAATCCAGAATCTGAAATGCTCCAGAGCACTGGCGTGGTGTTACCAGTGGAAAATTACACACTTGATTTAATGGGATGAGTCTCCGTCAACACACAGCAGCCCCCAGGGATATATCACAGCCCCCTTCAACTGGGATATATCTTCTCCTCATATGCCCAGGTCACCCCACTTTACACTCCGCAAGAGGCAACAAACAGCACTTGTGTAGGTATGCTATGCCAACAGCTGGCTCCTCATGGTGCCAGACATGGGGCCAAGACCTGCAGGCATCACTTGCTCTGTTTTTTTGCTGATTCTTTGCTCTGTGGTGTAAAGATATTGTTGAAAGTGTCAAAGGGGCCTGCAGATACCCCTTGGGTAACAGTGGCAAGAAAAAGAGAAAGCATTTATCTATGGCACAGAAAGTCCAGCTGTTGGAGAAATTGGATGGAGGTATAAATGTGTGTAAGCTGTATGTGAAATGTACGCCAATTGATGTTTAGACTTGGGTCCTATTCCAAGATATTCCATGATGTGCTTGTAAATATTCCAAAGTTGGGAAAAATTCCAAGACCTCAAACACTTCAGGCCCTAAGCATTTCAGATAAAGAATGGTCTACCTGCACAGGTGATAGCAGTCTTTCCTTGCCCCCTCTCTCTCATAGACATAGACTTCCATCTCCAAATTGACCTACTAAAATGCCTTACGACATTGGAGCTAGAATATTCCTTGAAGTTCCCTGGAGCCATGTGAATTTAAATGATAAGATGCTGTGTTCTGGCCAGGCACAGTGCTCATGCCTATAATCCCAGCACTTTGGGAGGCCAAGGTGAGAGGATTGCCTGAGCCCACGGGTTCGAGACCAGCCTGGTCAACTTGGCGAGACCTCGTCTCTACAATAAATCAAAAAATTAGCCGGGTGTGGTGGCGCATGCCTGTGGTTCCTGCTACTTGGAAGGCTGAGGCAGAAGGATCGCCTGAGCCCAGCTGGTTGAGGCTGTGGTGGCCGTGAATGTGCCATTGCACTCCAGCCTGGGCAATGGAGTGAGACTCCAACTCAAAAAAAAGTCTGTGTGTGTGTGTGTGTGTGTGTGTGTGTGTGTTTCAAAAGAATCAATATGTTATAAGGGGTTATAATCCCTCATTAATCTATTTCACTTACAGGATTATAAAAAAAAATGAAACAGTGACACTTTAATATTGATGGGCTCAGTACCTATGATGATATTGTGGACTGCCTGAGCGAGGGTCTTCTGCTGACCTGAGCTATATGGGTAATCTGACAAGGATGGTGGAAGGATGATTTTAAGAAATAAGTCATAACAATCTGGCTGCAACATTTATTAATTTCAAATTCAAATCTGTTTTCATTAGGCGGTTGTAATCTGAAGAATAAGTCTACCCAGTCTTTGGAGTATTGTGCTGAATTACTGGGTTTGGACCAAGATGATCTCCGAGTAAGTTTGACCACAAGAGTCATGCTGACCACTGCGGGGGGCACCAAAGGAACTGTCATCAAGTAAGCTCCGTGACTCGCTGTCATGCAAGCATTCTTCCTTGTCGTTTGTTGGGAACAATCTTTTCTGAGAACCCTGAGATTTAAAGTCGATCTGTATGCATCGTTTATCCTTTTTCTTAAGCTCTAAAACCTGCACCTGATAGGTTGGAATTCTGTGCATCTCACTGTAGTAATCCACCATATAAATAAATTGGGTTTAGCAGAGTCTTGAAGTTGTTCCTTGCAGGTATCTGGAACTTATGAGATAAGAGAAGGCTTTACTTTTGCACAACTGTGAAAATGTGAGCTGATATGTACATCGATATCTGACAGTTTTAGGCTGATCATCATTTGACTTTTTTTTTTTTAATTTTCTTTTTGAGTTGAGTCTCACTCCATCGCCCAGGCTGGAGTGCAGGGGCACCCCAGTTGCAACCTGCTGGGCCGTGGCGATCCTTCCACCTCAGCCTTCCAAGGAGCCAGAACTACAGGCACGTGTTACCATGCCCGGCCAGTTTTTTTGATTATATTGTAGAGATGAGGTCTTGCCAAGTTGCCTAGGTTGTTCTCGAACACGTGGGATCAGGCAATCTCCTTGCCTCAGCCTCACAAAGTGCTGGGATGACAGGCTTGAGCCACCACGCCCAGCCTCATTTGACTTTAAAAGCAAATTTTCATGCAAATGGTATATGCTAGAACTTCTATTAAGCAGAGCTCACTTTAGCAAAATACTCAGTGAATGAAACCTCCCTGACCTTTAGGATTGGTTCTGTTAGAAGACATTGCAAAAGACAGGGAAATAAAGGATTAGCCAAGTTTGTAAAAATCAGAGACCAGGACCATCTAGATTGTACCTGGGTGTATGTCCACTTTTGGCTAAATAGCCTGTATCCGTGCATTTCTGGTTTGGTATTGTAGACTAAAACTTGGGTTCACCATTCTGAGGTTCTGTAGGGTCTTCATTTGTGGGGATCAAAAGGCAGACCCTCTGTCTCTTGCTAACTAAGACCTGCAATGAGTTCTAGAGATGATTCCAGAAAAATTAAAACAGGAAGGAATGCTTGCAATATTGTTTTAACCACTGAGAAAATTGGCTACCTCTGAGACCTTTGGAAATATCAGCAAGACATGTGTTGCTGGATACTTTGCTAGGCTACATCAAAATAATTTTTTTTTGGGCAGGGGATCAGAGTCTCACTTTGTCACACAGGCTGGAGGGCAGTGGCATGCTCATGGCCACTGCAGCCTTGACCTGCTGGGCTCAGGCGATCCCTCCGCTTCAGCCTTCTGAGTAGCTGGGACTATAGGCATGTGCCACCATGCTGGCTAACTTCTTGACTTACTGTAGAGACAAGGTCTCACCAAGTTGCCCAGGCTGGTCTCTAACCCCTGGGCTCAGGCAGTCCTCTGGCCTCTGCTTCCCAAAGTGCTGGGATTACAGGTGTGAGCCACCGCACCCAGCCCCAACATAATTCTTATAATAAAGAAAAGCTCTGGGGAAGCCGTGCCCCATGGTTCTTGGTTCCTTAGTGCTGTCTCTGGACCCAGGATAGGCCATAAAGGCACAGGGACTGGTCCCGAGACTGCTCCTCTGTTTTTCCAATACTGTGTGTTACAGAGTGTGCTTTTGTGTGTCTTGTGTGCAGGGTGTCCACACAAAGTTCATTTCAAGAAAGAGTTTCATTGCAGGAAGTATGAGTTGGAAAAGCACTATTAGAGGGTACTCAAGGGCCAGGCTGGCCTTAGTTTTTTGAGTCAGAGTCTTACTCTGTCGCCCAGGCTGGAGTGCATGCTCACGGCCATCCCAGCGTTGAGCTGCTGGGTTCCAGCAATCTTTCTGCCTTAGCCTCCCAAGCAGCCGGGACTATAGGCATGCACTACCATGCCTGGCTAATTTTTGATTCATTGTAGAGATGAGGTCTCGCCAAGTTGCCCAGGCTGGTCTTGAACTCGCGGGCTCAGGCAGTCCCCTCACCTTGGCCTCCCAAAGTGCTGGGATGACAGGCTCGAGCCACTGTGCTCAGCTGGACAGTTCACATTTTAAGACATAAACATTTTTCCTAAACAGAAAGAAGTTACCAAACTTTAAAGTTATCCTGAATTAAGCACAAAATTTCTTTTTGCATTTACGGAAAGTCAAAAGGAAGGTTATTTCTTTGAATAACTTTTTATATATTCAGCAAGTAAATTGAAGTGTAAATTAAGGCTAAAATGAATTTGCAGGCTTGACGTTCTTTTACCCAGTAATGGATTTGGATCTAATTTTAGGGTGTTGCCTTCAGGTTTCTCTTGCAGTTTTCTGCTTATCTGCCTTTATTGGTGCCTGTTCCCCCGTGACTTTGGTCATTATTTTGTTCCTCCTAGTGCATGTGTTTGGATGCACCTTGACCTTGGGCGTCCGACATTCTTTTCGCAGTGCACTGCCATGAAGAATATTCACGGGTATGGTCTTCCTTCGTAGGGTGCCCTTGAAAGTAGAGCAAGCAAACAATGCACGCGATGCCTTGGCAAAGACGGTCTACAGCCACCTTTTTGATCACGTGGTGAACAGAGTAAATCAGTGTTTCCCTTTTGAGACATCATCCTATTTTATTGGGGTTCTAGATATTGCTGGTTTTGGTAAGTATAGTTCTTTTGTGAGTTTTTTTTGTTAAATACTTTTTTTGCATGTTTAAAAAAAGCATTTTTTCCCTTGTAATACCTATTACTTAATGTATTTTTAGTCAGAAGTCCATACCTGCAGTTTGTGAAATGACTTACATCGGAAGCTGATACTTTAAAAAAAAAACAAAGGAAAGACTCACGGGGGTTTGTGTTGGTCATGCTAATGCTAAAATCAAAACATATTGATCTAAATGGTTTATAGTTAAGGATACCTCTGTACTCTTAAGTGAATATAAGTGAATAAAGGCAAACTCTTGTGTGTTACTAATAAAGATCACAAGGTCACTTGTTTAAATAAAGATAATGATGTCACCACAACCATTGAAAAACATATGGGACTGGGTAAGGCCTATAGTACAGGCCAACTCCTATGTAAACATTCATTGTTAGTGTGAATTGCCAGCGCCTGGCTATTTCCAATTAATCTTCCATCACATAAGTAAGATATGAAGATAAGTCATTGAGAACAAGCGTAGAGCTGTTTAACCAGAAATGAAATGGGTCACCCGTGTGTGAATGCTGCCTTGATCTGAATGACTGTGTTGTCGACATCTTGTAGTAAGTCTTATAGTTTTTATAACTGGGCTTTTTCGACGTGGCCTTCCTCCTTTATGGTTTGTTTGCCTTTGCTAAGGGAAGGGATATGTGTTTACATTTTGGGAGGGACAGGGTTTTGCTTTGGATGTGATATGTAGATATTAAGGTTTATAATAAAGTATTACCTTTGTTCAGAGGTAGAGAAACACCCATCACTGACTTATGATTTCACAGCCTAGATATTTGTTTCCTGGTCTACACCAGTTTTAGCATGACACACACACAAACACACACATACACACACAGAATCATACAATTTTAAAGCTATATGGATCTTAGATATCGTATAATACAATTTCTTTATTTGTTTTTTATATTTATTATATATTTTATTACAAAGATGTAGGTAATCTCTTAATTTTAGAAATGAATTATTATCCACAGTAGCTTTGATAATTCTAATTTTACAGATTATGCAGGAAAAAAATCTTTGAAAGCCCTTGTGTTTTAAGTCATGTTTGTGCTTTAATTTGGATTGCTTTCATATCTGTGCTTTAATAAATTATTACAAGTGGCTTACATTTTCTATCCTTCACTATACAAGATTTAACTCATTTGACAAACACCTTTTTTTTGGTCAGTTGAAGTAGGGTATTTTTAATACTTAATATTTCTTTTTTTTTGAGTCGGAGTCTTGCTTTGTCACCCAGGCTGGAGTGCAGTGGCACACTCACGGTCACCGCATCCCTGACCTGCTGGGCTCAGGCGATCCTTCCACCTCAGCTTTCCAAGTAGCTGGAACTACAGACATGCGCCACCACACCCAGCTGATTTTATGGTTTATTGCAAAGACGTGGTCTCACCAATTTACCCAGGCTGCTCTCAAACCCTTGGGCTCTTTTCTCAGCCTCCCAAAGTGCTGGGATGACAGATGTGAGCCACCACACCCAACAATACTTAATATTAATGCCTAAAACATTTCAAATCATGCAACAAGAGAACATTTGGAGAGCGTATGCCAATCGTGTGTATTTTTTTAACCTAATTTTCAATCATGCCATTGTTACGATAACATTTTGCTCTGTGATACATTTACTTGAAGTTGATCGGACAATGACTGTTGGCTCTGGTTTTGTGTTTTCAGAGTACTTTGAACATAACAGTTTCGAACAATTTTGCATTAACTATTGCAATGAAAAACTTCAGCAATTTTTCAACGAAAGGATTCTGAAGGAGGTAATTGCCATTATAACTTAAACTTAGGATCTGCGTTAAGCTGTCTTGAATTTCAAGGACGAGACATGCTGCAGTGAGCCCACCTGATGGGCTTGATGGGGCGTAAGGGCCATGGCCCTGGGGCCCAGGAAGCCCCCGCACTTCAGAAGCGTTCAAGTCACACACGCCGCTTAGGGACCCGGCAGAAACTCACAGGCGACCCCTTGGAAGTGAACTCTGTTCTTTCTCATGGGCAGCTTTTCCTTTTTCTTTTTCTGACTCTGTTTTTCCTTTTTCTGACTCTGTTGTCTGTGCTTCTGTCCCTGCCAGACGATCTTGTCCTGTCCCTCCTGACCTTGGTGTCTCTGCCCTCCTCTCAAGCTTCTCTGCTTCTGCCTCTCTCTGCCGTCTGCTTGCCCTCTCTCTGTGTAGCAGCATCACAGCCATCATGGGAGGGCCAGGGCCTCCGTGGCCTGATGTGCCTCTGGGCAGGAGTCTTCCTGCCACATACGACCTTTTGGACTGCAGCCACCAGGAATGGGCATGCCTTTGGCAGGCACCATCTCTGTCCAGTAAGAAACTTTACTGCCACTGCTCATAATGGACAACTATGGGCATGGCAGACACTGCATACCAAGTCTCAGAAAGCTACTTCGTAAGCCTTGAGAATGCAGAGTGAGTCAAGAGGCTCTGTTTCCCCTTGAATTTGAATTCTTGTTTTTTTTTTTTGAGTTGGAGTCTCTCTGTCGCCCAGACTCGAGTGCAGTGGTGCGATCATGGCCACCGCAGGAAATTGGATTCTTTAATATTTCCTTCCATTGCCTTTCATCCCTTTTTGGTGCTGTTTGAAAGGTATGTGATTGAATGAGGATAGGAGAGTTAAAGGGACCTCGGACATCACCTGGTCCAGCCCTTTGTCTTACCGATGAAGAAGCCAGTTCCCAGAGCAGACTTGTAGTCCCATTTCTCTGGATCCCACGCTGTGATCTCTTCTTAGCACTGCTCTGTCCTGATTTCTGTTCTCTATGGCGCCTGGGATGAACCGTACAGTGTTTTCTTTCTTACTTCCATCTCATCTATTTTTTCCACATTTTTTATCGTCTGTGTCTTTATGGGCTTCCCAGTGCATTTTGGTCTTCATCCATTTTGCTTATGTGCATAGTTAAGTCAATTCAAGCATAAACAGACAGGTAAAATGAGCACTTATCCGGAAGTTGGTTTCTCTGAAAATGTCTTATGCAGGTGCATTTGTTCATCTATGATTATGTGATGTGTTACTCGCATGCCTCTCATTTAGCATAACCGAATCTTTCCCTTCCACAAAATGCAGCGAGAAGCTTTATCTGGAAACTGAATAAAGAGGAGACAGTGTTTTGATTTATATTCACTTTGATAACATCCTGTAAAATAAATGTGGGTTTCAGATTCAGATTGGGTTAAAGTGGACCGTGCCTTCTGGAGTTTTGGAAACCTTTTCTAGTGTATCTCCTGGGAGGAAATACTTAAATAATTCAAGAAAAAATGTTAAGACATGTTAACTTAGGCTCATTGCTTAGTTTACCCATATGTGATAAAAATCCTTTAAATTTTTTTCTAAGAAGATATGAGGACTCAACTTTGACTCATACATTTTCTCCTAAACTATGCATATTTTCCCCAAATGATACAAACCTTGTATATTCTATCACTGTGTAGGTACCAAAGCCCATTTGCAGTTCATTTCTTTTTCCTTAATTGTAGTATCTGTCCGCAAATGTTCAAAATCTCTTCCTTCTTTGGAAAACCATTTAGAGGTATACTAGTTGGTCTACACCCTGGCATTCTAATTAGTAAATATAACAATCAGGAATAGCACAAAACGTGGAATCTACTTCATACTGGATGGTATTCTCATATCTGTGATGGTGATTTCATTTTTAGGAACAAGAACTCTATCAAAAAGAAGGCCTGGGTGTGAATGAAGTGCATTATGTGGATAATCAGGACTGTATAGGTAGGTGTGGTTTCACTCTACCTTTGAGAAACGTGGGAAGGTGTGAAGGCATGCACTCGTGACTTTTCTGTGTCCTGTGATTGATGATACTGGTTGTGGGACTTGAAACTGATATTTGAGAGAGGTTTGGTTCCTCTGAACCGCTTGGAAGTTATTTTTCCTACCAAGGCATCACATTTCGCTTTGTTGAAAGTTTTGCTGAAGTCTCTTATTTGTTGTGACGGATATGCTCTGACTCAGGTAGCTGCTGTGTGAATCATTTGAGGGGGAAACTCAAGTTTCTCAGGCAGCACAAGCATCTGTGACCCTGCGTGAGGCCAAGCCCAGGCAGGGCTGTCAGGTGACTTGCTTTCTGTGGCTCTCTTGGTCTTCCTCTCTTCTGTGCAGGGGCTGCTCCCTCCAACTGGCTGCAAGTTGGCTTTGGAGATTCCACATGTCATGTCCATTCCATGCTTGGCAGCCGGAGAGTGGGGCTCTCTGTTTTCTGTTCTTCCAATGAAGAGACCAGACCCCCCTCCCTGCTTCCTGCGGGCTTTCAGACTGAGCTTTGCGGCAAGCCTGGCTTGAAAACCCAGTTTGACAATCTGGTCAGCAACTCATGTGACAGATGTGAGACAAATAGCATAATAATAATCATAATACTACCTCACATACACAACTTTTGCAAGCATTTCCCCATGGTACCTGGTCCCCTCAGCCTTCCCTTACCACACGGCACCTGTTCTCACCTGGCTTTCTGATGGTGAGGCGGGTGTCTTGGTGGGAACGCCTCCCCTCCCGCCTGTCTTCCATCTCACCTCTGCCTCCCACACCTGCCAGAACACTGTCACCTGTAGTTAGTTCAGCATGTCCCTCCGTCACTACCACTGATGGCCCAGGAACCATCATTTTCTGGCCAATGCAGTAAGAATCTTGACCTTTCTACCTGGGTCCTATAGCTCTGTTTCACTCAACAGTTCTTACAGACTATATTTAAGCAGTTTACATTTTACGTTTGTTTTGGACAGATGGAAGTTCAGGCAAATGAATGGAAAGAGCATAAAATGTGCTGTTGCTGAATAGTTTTGTTTGAAGGCATTTAAATCAGTTTCTACAATTTTCTTTTTTGAGTTGGAGTCTCACTCTGTCGCCCAGGCTGGAGTGCAACGGCACACTCAAGGCCACTGCACCTCGACCTACTGGGCTCAGGTGATCCTTCCAAGTAGTTGGAACCACAGGCACGCACCACCATGCCCGACTGATTTTTTTGATTAATTGTAGAGACAAGGTCTCGCCATGTTGCTCAGGCTGGTCTTGAACCCCTGAGCTCAGGCAATCCTCTCGCCTCGCCCTCCCAAAGTGCTGGGATTACAGGCTTGAGCCACCACGCCCAGCTACAGTTGTAATTAAAATGCTCTGAGCTCAAATTTTTTTGTCATTTCACTTCACCTTACATAGAGATGTCATCTGGGGAAGGACTTTCTGTCTCTTTGGCCCCTCATCCAGTTTACAGGTGGAATGATGACCATAATTAGTTGCCTTCTTTATGGAGTTGTTTCCCTAAAACCTATATTAAATAGGTGGTGTAACTTTTTAACAAATGGCCAGATCTGAAATAATAATTCATGTGCTGGCCCTAGCCTTTGAGAGACTACTTGTAGCATCATCTATTATTTTGTTTCTGATCCATCCTTTGACATTTGTGATCAGCGGATTGTTCACGCATCCTAAAAACATTATTATTATTTTTTTTTACCCCATTGCATTTTCGTTTTTTGAAACAGATTTAATTGAAGCAAAATTAGTGGGAATTCTGGATATTCTGGATGAAGAAAATCGCCTTCCCCAGCCAAGCGACCAACACTTTACATCTGCCATCCACCAGAAGCACAAGGACCATTTCCGACTCACTGTGAGTGTGCATTCAAAAGTCGAGACCCTTGGTGGGAGGAGGAACCGTTGAAGGGCTGCACTGAACGGTGGATATGGTTAGGTAACTAGAGTCATAAATAATGTCGGGTTTAGAGCACCGTGTCCTATCAAGTGCAGCATCTTCCTCAGGTGGCGTGTTCTTGATGATCGTGATTTAGGCCATTAAGGCCCTTTTCTTGGGATGGAAAGTCCATTTCACCCTTCTTCTGACGTGCAAGGGACGTGCACGCTCTCTTTGTGTTTTCTCTTCTGAGCTAAGTGGCTGCCCGTCGCTTTGGTATCATGTGACCTTTGTCATGGCCCAGGGGTTACACCGAGAATCACAAGCACCATCGGTCTACATATTTGTACATCCAGCAGTGAAGCCGTGACCCAGGACTTGGCCTGGCAGAAGCCATCCCTATTGGACGGTGATAAGCCAATTCATTCCGATCTTTCTGAAGGAGTTTTGAGTAGAAAATGTACTCAGAAGGGAAGTAGAAGTGGAAGCCATAGGAGGATGAGGTGGAGTAAAGGGAACCACAGACCCAGAGTGGTAGAAATAAATGGGAGTTCCACTCTCAAAGGGTCAGGAGAGCTGTCTGCTGGACTGCTGCTGGGTCCTGGAGCTGCCCTTGAATCCTTGAGGTAGCGACGAGTGGAGCCGTCCCCATGAGCCTGCGCTGTGTGGTTGTCGAGGTGTTCCTTGTGTTTGCCCTATTCTGTGTTTGTCTTTTCACTCAATCGTCTTCCCCTGAGATAATACCAGCCCAATTCCGTCCTAGTGCCCAGAAAGAATCTGACTGTCGCAGAGCAATACCAATGTCCGTTTCAGCCACAAAGATCGATGCTATCTCATATTATTATTATGGATAACAACATCAACGACAACAAAAGGCAGAGAGAGAAAGGGAGAAAAGAGATGCTCCCTAGAGTTGCTGAGTGAAACGGACACATGCCTCCCAGGCTGTATTGTTTTGAGGTTGGAGCAGTTGAGCAATCTTTGTTTTGATGGATCCAGGAGTTTGAGTGGAAACAAGTATTTTCACCTCCATTTATCGTTAACAAAATAGGTTCGATGGATTTTCCTGAAAGATGGATATCATGGTGCCAACCTTCTGTAGGGAATCAGCTTCCACAGCCACCTGCTCCACTCACGTGGACTTCTTCTGTATCCCTCAATGTATCTGGTGGTGTGGAACCTATTTATCTTCTTTTGGCGGAGATAGAAATAAACCAATATGTGTCCTCAGCAAACCTTTGTAGACCTTCACCATACGCATCCAGCCCTCTGACTCTTTGCTCACTGGTGTTGGTTGTGACCAGCCTGGGAGCTCATGGTCACCTTTACCAGGGGTACTGACCACTTGTCAGCACAACTATGACCGGGCTCTCAGGGGCACGTCACTCAAAGATAGCACAATGAAGGATCAGGAGTGGGCTTTGGCTGCTTTTCTCAAGTAAGAAGTGTAAAGCAGTCAATCCTAATTTTTTTTTCTTTTTTTTCTTTTTTCTCTATCACCCAGGCTGGAGGGCGGTGGCACGCTCCCAGCCACTGCAGCCTCAACCTGCTGGGCTCCGGTGATCCCTCCACCTCAGCCTTCCAAGTAGCTGGAACTACAGGCGCGCACCACCACGCCTGACTAATTTTTTGATTTATTGTAGAGACGAGGTCTTGCCAAGTTGCCCGGGCAGGTCTCAAACCTGTGGGCTCAGGCAATCCACTCACCTCGGCCTCCCAAAGCGCTGGGTTGACAGGCTGAGCCACCGAGCCTGGCCATCAATCCTGATTTATACAGGTCATTCCTTTGATTGTATTTTTTTAAAAAAATAAATATAGTCACTTTATAAGTTGTGATCACTTAGATGGGCCAGGCACTGCTCTACTGCTTTTGCTTGTGTTGTTTCATTTAATCCTGGTGGAACCTCCATTCTGCAGAAGGAGACATACCAGGAGAGATTAAGGGGCACGCCCAGCATGGCCACTGAAGCCGTGGGTTTGCCAGTGAGGCTGGGCGGTCTGGCTGCAGAGCTTGCAGGCTGATTCATCCTGCGGTGTCAACCTGCATGAGAAGGCCCTCTGTGTTCTTCTGCTTATGCTCTGACTTCCAGCAGACCTCTAGGGCTGCCAAGTCTTAAGTTTTCTCACTTTTTTTTTTTTTAGTATTCTTAAAATTTATATTATTTTAGAGATGCAGGATACAATTCAGGATTAGGTATACAAGTGTCAAAAATTTTGTTGAATGGAAGAGTAATATTGTTTGGGTGAAGTATTCTGTACATTTCCTTTTTTAATTAATTATTTATTATAAAGATGTGGGTTACAATTCAGGGTTAGGGTTAGGTATACCAACATTAATCACGCAAGTACCCTTGTTGATGAGGCATGCCCTTCCCTCCCCCAGCAGGAGTCAGTCATACGCAGTGTTTTATCACAGAAACAAAGAACAGAGTTCTATATGTTCTCACTCATAAGGTGACCTTGAACAATTATAGTGAGATAAGAAAGCGATTGGCAGTAGTAGGAAACTGTCAGGGGAGGTGGGGGGTGGAACTGACAGTTGAGGTTTTCTCACTTTAAGATGAGATTACCTTCCTTAACCTTAGGTTGTCTTGAGGGCCAGATGTGATCTTGCATGTGAAGGCTTTTCAAAAAACTTTAAATATGACGCAGATAAGAGATGTGACAATTAAATGGTACAGCCCTAAATGGATCTCGTTTTCTTGAAATAGATTCAGGCTTATAGTGTAGACATATTAGCATGGTTGGTCTGAAGCTGTGGGAGAGGCCCCATGCTGATTTCTGATGTTGTTTTACCTAGCTGCACATGGGAAACCCTTGAGGGAAATGGTCCAGGGTTGGATGGAGGTGCAGAGCTCTCCAGGTGACTAATGCAGCACCATGGTTGAGGTCCACGGCTGGAGAAATGGGTGGTTAGCTTTATAAAGCACCAGCTATGGTTTTTTTTCCTTTCCTTTTTTTGAGTTGGAGTCTCACTCCATCACCCAGGCCGGAGTGCAGTGGCACATTCAAGGCCATCCCAGTGTTGACCTGCTGGGCTCCCACGATCTTTCTGCCTCAGCCTTCCAAGTAGCTGGAGCTATAGGCATGCACTACCACACCTGGCTAATATTTGATTTTATTGTAGAGATGAGGTCTCTCCAAGTTGCCCAGGCTGGTCTCGAACCCACAGGCTCAGGCAGTGCTCTCGCCTTGGCCTCCCAAAGTGCTGAGATTGCAGGCTGAGCCACTGAGCCTGGCCAGCCAGCTATATTTTGAATGTGGTGTGTGTGTGTTTGTGTGTTTGTCTAACACCCATTTTCTTCCCTAATAAATTCTACTAAATATTTGCTCAATATCACTGGTACTTTAAGGCATCCTAGGTTATGTTTTTATTTTTATTTAAAAAATTTTTTTTGAGTTGGAGTCTTACTCCATCACCCAGGCTGGAGTGCAGGGGCACGCTCACGGCCACCACATCCTCGACCTGCTGGGCTCCGGTGATCCTTCCACCTCAGGCTTCCAAGTAGCTGGAACTACAGCATGCGCTACCATGCCCGGCTAATTTTTTTGATTTATTATAGAGACAAGGTCTCGCCCAGTTACCCAGTCTGGTCTTGAACCCCTGGGCTCAGGCAGTCATCTCTCCTCTGCCTCCCAGAGTGCTGGGATTACAGGCTTGAGCCACCACACCTGGCCTAGGTTATGTTTTTTGCAAAACTTTCCGTTATAACTTTAAGTATTTTATATCTCTCATGTTTTCCAGAGGAAGATTACGTAATATGTTTTCGACCCTCTCATAACGCATGTGTGTGTTGTTTTTCAGATTCCCAGAAAGTCTAAGCTGGCAGTTCACAGGAACATCAGGGATGACGAAGGCTTCATCGTGAGGCATTTTGCAGGGGCGGTGTGCTACGAGACAGTGAGTGTGACTCCACAGAGGAGAGCCGTTGGGTGTAAACTTGCCCTCTACAATTTAACACCATCCAGCCACATGTGGCTGCTTGCATTTAATGCCAGCAAGTTAGAGATTCAGTTCCTCGGTACACTGGCCCCACTTCAAGTGCTCAATATCCACACGGCCTGTGTGGACGGTCTTGGCCAGCGCAGACAGACAGACACACAGATCATTTCTGTCATCACAGGAAGCTCTGTCGGACAGAACCCCGTTAAGGGATATTGTTATCACAGGGTGGATTGATACAGTGCCGTCTGATTTATTTTCCAGACCCAGTTTGTGGAGAAAAATAATGACGCCTTACATATGTCTCTTGAGTCTTTAATATGTGAATCCAGGGATAAGTTTATACGAGAGCTCTTTGAGTCATCCACGAATAACAACAAAGATACCAAACAGAAAGCAGGAAAACTTAGCTTCATCAGCGTTGGAAACAAGTTTAAGGTATCTGAGTTAAAGTATTGACATCTTCTTACTGCATTTAAATTATTGACATCTTCAGATAAAATGCATTGTTTTATATTCTCAAACGGAGAATGTAGCTCACTGTCAGAAGCCCCTTGAGTGAAGTTCAAGAGCAGACCCTGCCTCGTTGATATTCACATGTGAAATATCATCATGAGGCCCAGTCATTGAACAAAAGATGCATGCGCAATTCTCCAAACGGGTCCGTTCTTGACATACCCCAATCGCGTCGTCTGACGTTCTGCTTCTGCATACTGTCCGGTTGACCTTCAGCCTTCTCTTTCCCACGTGTTTTCTGTTTCCTTCCTCATCAGCAGTTTGGTTTTAGCTGGAGTAACTCGGGCTGCTAGAGAGGACTAGTTGAGTTGGGAGAGAGGAAAGCCAGGCGCGGCCAGGGCTTCAGGTAAACAACTGCTTTCGTGGACTCCTATTTACATGGCGGCTGCCTGTGACACAAAGCCCGTGTCAGGTTGATGATTCAGTTTGTGATTCATTTCCAATGTGTTTGCTCTCACAGTGGCATTGTGGGTGTGCATAGCCTACTAAAATTTGATGAAAGCTTTTTAATAGCTTTTGTGAAAGATACGTGCTCAGGTGTGGCAAACTCTTCAGACTGTTTATTTACCTTGGAAGGCTATTTCGTTTGTTGCATTAATTTGGGGTCGGGTATTTATTTTTGGAGGTGTGCTCTAGAGATGGGTCTCCACTAGTGGGTTCTAATTGTTGAATATTAGTGTAGACAAAATAATTTTAAAACTTACGTTACAATTTAGTGAACAACAAGCTGTCATACATAGAACAAAGTAATGGAATTCATTTCTGTCTTACAACTTTCCATAAAGTGTTATTGTAATGTTTACAATAGCACTCACATTTGCCTTTCATCATATATACTTTATTTATTATTTTTTTTTGAGTTGAAGTCTCACTCTGTCGCCCAGACTAGAGTGCAGTGGCTGCTCCCGGCCACCGCAGCCTCGACCTGCTGGGCTCCGGCGATCCTTCCGCCTCAGCCTTCCAAGTAGCTGGAATTACAGGCATGCGCTACCACGCCCGGCTGATTTTTTGATTTATTGTAGAGATGAGGTCTCGCTGCCCAGGCGGGTCTCGAACCCGCGGGCTCAGGCAATTCACTCCCCTCAGCCTCATCATATATACTTTAATTAGGAATAATATTTAAGTGTCAGGATACTGTCATACTGATAACATAAGCCTCCTTAAATCCTGATCATGTTTATAGGAGCTGGTTTTTTCAAAAAAGCTTAACCATAAATATAGGGAAATTGTATAATACACCTTTAGGTAACTGGTTAGAGGCCTTGAGTTTTGTTATAAATTGTATTTACTCCTAATGAGTTCCTGATTCTCAGTGAACAGTATGTTTCTCTTATTCAAATATTCTTCAGTTTCTGAATAGACATTTGATAGCAGATTGGTTTTAAAATAGCATATTAGCCAACATGAAATATGTCATGTATTATGTATTTTCCTTTTGTAATATTAAAGTAGTATTGCTTATGAGAAGATACTTGAAATTTTAGACAGTGTTAAATAAAAATTAAAAACATCCCTAAAATTTTTCTTTGGAATAAATAATCTTTTATGTTGAACCTTGAAATGCCTGGTAATTGTTTATATTCAATAAGATGTAGTTTTTTTACATTAAACAACTACTGAAAGCTCTAATCAGTGATACTAATAAAATATCTCACATGTGTTTTCCTCTGTGGTACTTGAAAATGAGATATTAATAGATCCTTAATTTTAAATTTAATAGGATATCTCACTGAATTAAACTTGAGGTGTGAAGGCAATAAAAACAAAACAGGCTGTCATTTACAGTAATGCTGTGGTTATCCAACGTCACTGACGACCAAACATTTTCCACAGAAAGGTGACTTTTTTCCTTCTGCTGTCAATGTTTCAGAAAAAAGTCATCCTTTTGAACGGAAGTCCTATCATGAATATTTATATGCTTTAAAATACACATAAAATGCAGATAAGGCATGAATTGTGTAGAACCATCTACCCTCATGCCCTAGGAGACTTGACTACTGTTCTTTGATAACTGATTTTCTTTCTTCTTTCCCGGCTGCTATGAGTTTATATTTGCTGCTTCTGCTCTTCTGACTTGACCTCCGTTTTTTTGGAGAACACTGTGCTTAAGTCTGTGGATTAAAGAACACAGGCTTTGTGACAGTTTTCTTTTCAAATTGGTAGTGCTTACACTTGCTTTTTGGGCGTGGAGGTCTAGAACTCTGTCAACCAGATAAGTGGGGTGTGACTGCGTTTCTTTAAGTCAGTGCCCGATTCATTCTATGACTTCAGCCTCTCAGTGTGTGGGAGATACATTGTAGCAGTTATCACTGGTAGAGAGTGAGATCTGGGGTCAGGCCTGTGTTGGAATCAAGGCTTTGCCTCTATTACGTCCATTGTCTTGGGCAAGTTATTGATGACTTTGGTCTTCAATGCTTTCACCTGTAAAATTAGGCTCATACGTATATCTTTAATTAGGATTGTCATGTTTTATCCTTTCTTAAAATAATGCTCATGAAAAGCTTGGAGCAGTATTTGACTCCTAGAAAACATTCAGTAAACCAGTATACCTATTAATTATAGCTATGATTAATGTATGTTACTATGATAATCAACATCTTAGTTTATCTTTTGGAAGTAGTATAATAAGCATCTCAGTATAAAATCCAGATATAAGAATTTTCCATCAGTAATTCACTTTGCAAAGTAGTCAAGCAAATGGTTTTAACATACGGAACCACAGCAAGTTACAATCAATATTATAAAAACAGGACAGCGTAGTAACTTATGGTGTTCACTGTCAGGTTTTTTTTTTTGAGAAAATAGTCCAGGGGTTTAAAAATAATTGAGATGTAAAGCGTTTTAAAATCATAAAGAGGACTTCTGTGGCCAGGCAGGACAGTTTTGTTTATGCTGAGTGTCACATACAGCAATCCTAATACTATGAGTGTATATGCTACACGCCTTCATTCTCGGTGGTGTGTGACACAGACCACACAGTTTGCCACATGATCAGAGACTGTGCATTGATCGCTTATGACATACATCCTTGGCATTTGCATGTATTTCTTCCAGTGCCTGTATGTGTCCTCTCATTCTTCATACCTGTAAATGTGTATGCACGTTTTTAGCACCGTTCATTTTCAGACTTTTAATTGTCCAAGCTTGTAGAAGTCATTTATTGTCCTTGCATTCCATTAGCCATTTTGCATACTGCTCTGTGTTAGAGGGTTTGTGTCCTAGGGAGTTGTTAAACTGTAATGTGTTATATGTGGATGTTATTGCATGTTGTTTTATTCTAATATTAGCTAATATTAACTCACGACGCTGTGTACTTTGACTTTTTGAAATAAACTGATTTTTTTCTTTCACAGACACAGTTAAATTTGCTTCTGGATAAACTTCGAAGTACCGTGAGTATGCTTAAAAGAGAACAGGCTGTTTTTAAAAAATGGTCCTCTGAGACAATTATTAGTAATCATGCAAGTAAGCATAGTGACCCTCTTATCATTAGAAATATGTTTTAAGGTCAGACCTCGGGGTTCACACCTGTAATCTCAGCACTTTGGATGGCCAAGATGGGAGGGTTGCTTGAGCCCAGGAATTTGAGAGCCTAGGCAACATAGCAAGACCTTGTCTCTACAAAAAAAATTAGCCAGGCCTGGTAGTGTGTACTTGTAGTACCAGCTACTCGGGAGGCTGAGGTGGAAGAATCGCCTGAAAAGAAAGAAAGAAATACATTTTAAACCATATTCCCCTGATTTAAAAAAGTAGTTTAAAAACACTTTTCATTTTGGACCGGGTGTGGTGGCTCAGGCCTGTAATCTCAGCACTTTGAGAGGCTGAGGCGAGAGGAATGCCTGAGCTCAGGAGTTTGAAACCAGCTTGGGCAACATGGCAAGACCTCGTCTCTCTGAAAAATAAAAAAAATGAGCCGGCCGTGGTGGCGCACACCTGTGATTCCAGCTACTTGGAAGGCTGAGGCAGAAGGATCGTCTGAGCCCAGCAGGTCGAGGCTGTGGTAGCTGAAATTGTGCCACTGCACTCCTGCCTGGGCACAGAGTGAGACTCCGACTCAAAAAGAAAAAAAAAAAAACGTAAAACAAAAAATGTTTCTCATTTTGGTTAGGTTTGTTCTGAAGCAAGGGCAAATCTATATGTGAAGGCACATTATTTTATAAATACATAGAACTCTTTGAATGTTTTTGAATTATGATTATCTTGTATTATTTGTTTCAGGAAGGTGAGAATAACTAGTGATTATGGAGAAGGAGAAATGTATTTTTTTAGAATTAAAGATGAGGCATGTAATTAAATCTCATTGATGTGGAAATCAATGGACATAGTATTTTTATACCCCATTTAGAGGCACAATTTATTAGTTTTTTTTAACTCTGTTTTTTTTAACTCTGCATTTTAAGTAGCATACCCTGTTTTTATTTTTTAAGAAAAAACATAGTAGTAAAGCTAATAAATAACTTTAATGTACTGAGCCTCGGTAAATTGTAATCAAAATTATAAAAACAGGAAAGTGTAGTAGCTTGTATTATTCGTTATCAGTTTTATTTTGGAGAAAATGATCCAACTAGTTGAAATGTGAGATGTTTTAAAATGATAAAGGTGGTTCTTATAGCCAGGCAGGACAGTTTTGTTTATGCTAGGTGTTACATTCAATAATGAAAAAAACCACCACAGAAAGGAACTTATATGTAGTTTATATAAACGAAGCATGATTGCAAGGTAAGACTTATTTTTTATACAAACCCACAGAACCTAATTGAGTACTCTTCTTTTTTAGATAGTCAATTTGAAAAGCTAGCCATTTATTCTCAGTGTTATTGTTGCTTAATTTACTGTTAGACTTAGTTTTGGAACCATTAAGAAAACCTTTTCAGTGTCCTCATTGGCTACAAATATTCATATCTTAAGGGCCCATATCTTTAAAAATTAAGTCTATGAGGATAGTATTTTATTTTTATTTTTATTTCTTAAACACGATACTGCTCTAAAATGATGGGATTACCTTTGTGGTTTATAGAAAGAAGGCATTTCTACATGTGTTTTTAACTTAGACTGGGTGTGATGGCTCGCTTCTGTATTCCCAGCACTTTGGTAATTCAAGGCAGGAGAATCACTTGAAGCCAGAAGTTTGAGTCCAGTCTGGGTAACGTAATGAGACTCCATCTCTTCAAATAAAAGTTTTAAAATTGGCTGAGCATGGTGGCCTGTGCCTGTAGTCCTAGCCACTGGGGAGATGAGAGGATCACTTTTGCCCAGGAGTTTGGGGCTGCAGTGAGCTATTATCGTGCCACTGCACTCTAGTCTGGGCGACAGAGTGAGGCCCTATCGCCAAATAATAATAATAATAATAATGATAAATAAAAGTGTGCAGTGAACATCACTGTTGAAGTAATTGTTGAGTTTTGCAAGGTAGCTACTTTGGAGAGAAGCCGTGATTTGGGTAATCTAGTATGTTGGCTTCAGTAGTCAAGGGTTTCATTGTACACATCATCAATATTCACTCTGCCTTATTCAGAATAATCTGATAATCGGTTCCAAACGAATGCCTTTAAGTTTTTAAAATAACAACAAACAAAACTTTAAAATGTGCAACTGTGCAGTTTAGGGACCCATTGTATATTTTCGAAGCAGAATGATTGAAAGATTGGTTTTCTTTTTTTTTAATACCTTGACCTAAATTTTAAGGGACATAACTTTATTTGCATTTTCTTACCACAGAAACATACCCTATAAATACATTTAAATGTAGACTAAAATCACATGCATATTAGCCCCTAAAATGGGTTGTTTAAATACGTTAACATATTTCACAGTGAAAGACTTTCTCCCTTTTTCGATGTTTGGCATTCCAATCTAAAATGTAATCTTTTTCTGATGTTATTAATTTAGAATGCAAACATGCATCCCAAGCCTTAAAGTAGAGAATATGTGAATACATTTTTAAGTTCTTTAATAGTTATTTTAAAAGTTTCATATGTTACTGTTAATATGCTTTGAAGGTTGCTAGTATTCCCAGAAAATAGAAAAGTAAGGATGTTGAATGTATGGTCTCAAAGCGTACCCTTATTCTTCTAGGGAGCAAGCTTTATCCGTTGCATCAAACCTAACTTAAAGATGACAAGCCACCACTTTGAGGGTGCTCAGATTCTGTCTCAACTGCAGTGTTCAGGTATCGCCATATTTTCATAACCTCTTCATAAAAATCCGCTTTCATAAAACTTTCTTTGTCAGTGTGGGTCAGTAGTTGTAGCTCAGATGCAGTGTAGTAGTTCCAGTGTTTTCAAGAGGCTCACCATTATCTCGATTATTTTAAAGTGCAATCAGATTTTCATCTTACATTGTCTTTCCTTGTAAGAAAAGCGTAGGGCTGGGTGCAGTGGCGTGCTCCTGTGGTCCCAGCTACTTGGGAGGCTGAGGTGGGAGGATCGTGGGAACCCAGGGGTTCAAGATCAGCCTGGGCAACAGGGTGAGACCCTTCTCTTAAAAAGAAAAGAAAGAAAGGGGGGTGGGGAGAGAGAGAGACAGACAGAGATGGAGAAATAGAGACAGAGACACCAGCAGCCGTTCATGCCTTGCGCCCCACACCCCGGGGTCAGGAGGCAAACTTTGAGGCCCTTTCTTCCTACTCCACCACGTGTGAGAAATGAAAACAGCACTGTGCCCTTGGCTCCTGGGACACCTTCACGCATTTGATTAAACATCCCTCGCTGCCTCCCTGCCGACGGCGTCTGATGTCTGTCTTCCTGGCCAGCCTCCGTCCCCACTTCCACCCTGACTGTTCCCCAAGGCATTGGCTCTCCCTGTCTTTGTTCCCCTTTGGGTCCAGCTCTGACCCTGACACTTCTTTGACCCTCTGGCCTCTCTGACTCCTTATATGCTCTCAGAGGCAGACTTCCCATGGAGTTAAGGTCTCTTAGGCAGCAGGGCCCTCCTTTTAAATAAACCTCTTCCATAGCCCTGCGCCTCATTTTGGGTTGTTTTCTAACTTTTTAAAATGTGCACTTTTTTCTTAGAGGGCCCTCCCCAAATCTGGATCTCCCCTGGGCCCTCAGAACCCTCACTGTGGGATCTGATTCTCCTCTTTCTCCTTGCCTTCACAGGCTTGGTAGGTGAGCAGGTCGGCACCGGTTAAGTTCATGGTCACGGACCTTCGTGGGGCTCTTGGGCCTGCCCTGCCAAGTTTCCCTGGTCAGCATGTTGTGTTTCCCTGCAGAGCCCCATCAGACCCATCCTGCTCTCCTTGGTCTCTGTGACTGGAAAAACCCAAAGCTTCACTTGGCTGCCACCACGCACTCTGCCTACCTGCCTGAGCTTCCCTCCTGTTAAGAAAGCAGGATTTCTTCTCTTCCTAGTTGAGGCCTGTGGTTCCTTGAAGTTCATTTCTTTCTGCTTTCTCGTGGGTCTTCAGTACTGATCGTGTAGACGGAACCGTCCCTTTGAGATGGCTGTCCCTGTCACCACCTAAACGTGCTGGAGCCTTCTCTCTGACCCACATTCCCTTCCAGCCCCTTCCACGTCTTCCACGTCTTCTTTCTCCATTTTCTCCATTTCTTCCTTTTCTTCCCAAGAACAATCTGTTCTTTCCCTCTCGGGGTTTCCTTTCTCCCACTCTTTGGCTCCCACTCTGATGAAGCCACCGGCGGCTGTCCTGACCCTAAATCAGATGTCTGTTTTGCAGTGGGCTTCCCAGTCACGTGTGGCCCTGACCAGTCCCTCGGACATACCCTTGTCTCCAGAAATCAGCATGTGTCCCTGCTTTTTGTCTCTTTGGCTTCTCTGACCCTTCCCGACTCCCCTGCAGGCTTTTTTTAGTTCTGCCTGGATATTATTTGTTAGCACATTTCAGGGTTTGGCCTGTTTCTCCCCTCATTTCATGTGCTGTGCAGTAGAACATTCCACGACGATGGGAATCTCCCGTGCTTGTGTTATCCAGTATAGTGGCCACCAGACTCCTTGGTCTGTTGAGCCCTTGAAGTATGGCTGAAATTTTAATTTCTAACACTTTGAATTTATGTGGCGGCTGTGAGTGTGCCAGTGCCCTCCAGCCTGGGCGACGGAGTGAGGAGACTCCGACCCCCCCAAAATAAAAATAAATAAAATTGTAGATGAAAACAAAAACAACAACTTTGAATTTAAATAGTTGTATGTGGCTGGCGGGGCTCCCAGGCACCTGGCTGGTGACACTACATGGAGATGGACAGGTGTGGGTTCTCTAAGACTCCCCAGGCCCCCTGCTGTGACCCCCTTTCCCCCCCAACAGTGAGTCCTGGTGCCCTCTGGACACACTGTCACCGTCTCTCGCCTGGCTTTTTGCTGTCGCTGCCTGAGTATTCTAGCATCTGCTCTGGCTGGTCTTACACACATCCAGGATGGACAGCTCACAACTTCTCTCTAATCATCACAGTGCTCGCAGTGATCTTAGGACTTCAGATGAGTGTTAGGGTGAGGAGCAAGACCCTGGAGCTTATGAAGCCCCTTGTGGCTCGGCCATGTGTCCCTACTTCCTCTTTTCTGCCCTGTCGCTCTGTGCTCAGGCCACGCTGGCCTCCCTTGAGCCCCTCCGTGTTCCTCTGAGGGATCTTGCCTTGCCTTTCCCGTCCGTCCTGTCTCAGTTTGATTGTCACCTCCTCTGAGAGCCCTTCTTGGTAGCCCCAGCTCGGAAAGTGAGCCTGCATTCAGGGTGCTGGGTCCAGGTGCTTTTATTTCACTGTCACGGTCTCAGATTTTGTATATATCTACATAATTATTTGATTTTTTTTCCCCTCTAGTCTGTAAACCCCACAAAGGCAGGAACTATGTCTGTTTGGGTTCATACATACATCCATTCTTCCCTGGCATATACTAAACTCAGTAAATATTTGCTGAATGGAACGCACAGTCTAGCAAATGTGTGTGACTAATTTGAACTAAATTAAATTTTTAACTCATGTCTTTTGAATTCTCCCATATAGTAGAGATATATTTTTGTAATAGTTCCCTCAGTATGTTACTAGTTTGAGTGACTTTTTGCTCATTTAAATTTCTCTTTAGGATTTGTTTGACTTAATATAATAATTCATTTGTTTTCCAGTGAGCACCTGTTGTCCTGGAAAGTCACACATGTTTAGATTTAGCTGTGTATGCTATTAGATTAGCAAAGAGTGTAGGCTTACTAAGGCTTCAGTGGGATTCCTCTTTCAGTAAGAAATGTATTTTAACATATTAAGGTATGTTGGCACTTTGACGGATGGCTCTGTGTTCATAATACTTGGATTTTTAAAAAAATACTAATAATATGATTACATAGAATTGGTTCCAATTTTTTTATTCTAATAGTTGGCCTCTAGGGAACAGTTAGTCTTGCGGGTTTTAGATGAAATTTGACTACAGTAGTTTGAGGTGGTATATAAGTTGGGATGTAATGATCATAAGTGCAATATTTCCTATGTAATATTTCACTGTTGATGAACCCTGCAAATTTCCCCTTTATAAACATCAATTACAAAATTGTTTGATCACTCTCAAACGAGTCTGGACTGCTGTACCGTGATTAACTGGGTCTTGTGTTTGCGTCTGTGTGTAGGCATGGTGTCTGTTTTGGACTTGATGCAGGGTGGGTTCCCATCACGGGCATCCTTTCATGAACTCTATAACATGTACAAGAAGTATATGCCGGATAAACTTGCAAGACTGGATCCAAGACTATTTTGCAAGGTACACATGCCACCCAAATGGAAATTTCCTAGCAGTAAACTTAACTTGTTTTCCCTATTAGCTACCGGTTGGCGTTTTAACTTTTTCACTTTTATTTTTCAGGCTCTTTTTAAAGCTTTGGGCTTAAATGAAATTGACTACAAGTTTGGGTTAACAAAAGTATTTTTTAGACCTGGCAAGGTAAATATACTTTCATATTTTAAATTCTAACATTATAAATATGGATGATTGAGGTCAGTGAATATTTTTAAGTATTCAATGGTTTGTATTATTGTTGAATTAAATGGTCACTAACAGCATGAAATATACATTTCCCTACTTGGGAGAAGTTTGCGACGCATGATACTCTGTATATAATTTTTTTTTTTCAATTTTATTCCGCTTTGGAAGTTTGGGAATCAATCAGAGCGTTGTTTAGTTGACTTTTTACTTAAACTGAGGTTCAACCAGGAGATACTTCCATTTTAAACACGTTGAAAGCTTTACTAAGATGTAATAAATAAGTCTTCAAGGATTTGAGATTTTCACAGTACTCTTGAATCTTCGTTGAGAACAAATGTCTCTAGAATACGATGGACAGACGTGGTATGGAAAGTTGGGTTGGAGTTGGCATTGGACCTCTGTGACCAATGAATGATAAGTACCTTTGAATGCACATGACTTTTTTAGGCTAACACATAGTTTAAGTGTTCAGAGGTTCTCGTACTGAGTTACAAGACTGAGTTACAGAATACTTCATCACAAAACATATTCGATATAGAAATAGCTAAATGCTATTTGCAATCTGTTAGGAATAATATGTTCACCATTCCAAACTTCTTTAATATTGACTGAGTGGCCAGGCTCGGTGGCTAGCCTGTAATCCCAGTGCATGGGGAGGCCGAGGCGAGTGGATTGCCTGAGCCTGTGGGTTTGAGACCCGCCCGGGCAACTTGGTGAGACCTTGTCGCTACAATAAATCAAAAAAATACATATATATAGACTGAGTAATTGCATCCTCATAATTATAAACATGGTTTTTACTATATTTAAATAGCTAGGCATACTTGTTTGGTTTGGCAAGATGATAAACATGTCGAGTGTCTTGAAGGATAAACTGATCATAATCAATCAATTAGGCTTTGCACTTCTGGACATGAGATGAAATATATGTGTGTGTGTTAACAATGCACGCACATCCCTGTGACTGTTTTTGCAAAGAACACGAAAAGATAAAAAGAATATATAAATGTTCGTAGTTGACTTAGCTCTAATCATGCATATTTGTCATAAACTTGGCATTTCTCTTATTTCAGAACTATAGTAATTATTTAAGAATCAATAGTCTGATGGAGACCGCACTTGGTCTTGTTTGCTTCCAGAAAAATTAGAAGTATTTGCTGAATGCCTAAGGCGAAATTTCAAGAATCTTTAATCTCATTATGCTACCTTTCATTTAATTTCAGCTATAAGAAGCCATTATATTGATTTTTTGGTTTGTATCATCCTTAATACTGTAGTGAGATGTTTGGTAAAGGATTGATGTTATTATGAAATATGGTGATAAACAGTAGACATAATGCATTTTATTATTAAGAACCTATCGACTGTCTTATTTGTGTCGTCTTGTGTCTTAGTCAACATTTGTTATCTCTGCCCACAAAGGGGTGGAACCGGGGAGAGATGGAACATATTTTGGTGGCCTCTGGCTCTGTAGCTGTTCTCAATGGAACCTCTTTGCCAACCATCTGTAATTAGATCACTTAGGCATTTTTTGTTTTGTTTTTGTCTTTCTTAACCTTCATTAAGAGAAAGGAAGCAAAATGTGGCCGGGTGTGTTTGGATTTGCTGTGGACTCTACTAAGATGTGTCTGTGTAACTGACATGCAACCGTTTTGAGAAAGTTCGATGTGGGATTTAAATTCCGTTTACCCTGTGTCTTTTTGTGTGCTTAAATGCATTCGTATTTTAATACTGATATGAAATCACTTGACTTCCCAGTTTGCAGAATTCGATCAGATCATGAAGTCTGACCCGGACCACTTGGCAGAGTTGGTTAAGAGGGTCAATCACTGGCTGATCTGCAGTCGCTGGAAGAAAGTGCAGTGGTGCTCGCTCTCCGTCATCAAATGTAGGTTCACCCCGCGGGCTTTCCCTTCCCACGGAGATCTTTTCTGTCCCTCTGATTTTCTCACTCTCATGAAATGGCTTGTGCTGTGTCGTAAAGCTGTCTCAGAGGGGATGCCGGGTAACAGGGACCACCACTTTTGTTCCCGTGCAGTGTCACCAGTTCCTTGAGCAACACCTCATGTGTAGTGTGATAAGACCGTGTTTGTGGACATGGTTTCTTTGTTATTTTGAGTGTCTGCCACTTATCTTCTTAGCTAAATGCGGTATGGGGATCTCAATCTTGTTGTGTCCTAAGAGAACAGAACTGGCTCTCGATTATTTTCTCTGTCTCCCCCAGCACATCCCCGGGGCTCTGACTTCAACCAGAGCTGCTCTCTGCCTGCATGGTGTCTACATGCACATGCCTGGAATGTCCAGATTGTCATTGTCTGTCCTTTCCTATTTCTTTTCTTTTTCTTTTTCTTATAAAGAGGTGGGGTACAATTCAGGGTTAGGTATACAAACATTGACCATGCAGGTGCCTCTGTTGATGAGGTGTGCCCCTCCCTCCCCTGGCAGTTTCCCTCAACTGTCAATCCCACCCCCAACCCCCTCCGACAGTTTCCCACTCCTGCCGATCACTTTCTTATAGCATTGTAATTATTCAAAGTCCTCTTATGAGTGAGAACACATGGCGCTCTGTTCTTTGTTTCTGTGATAAATCACTGAGTATGATCTACTGTAAATCCATCCAGGTTGCTGCATAGTCCATATATCTGTCCTTCTTTTTGGCTGTATAGTATTCCATTGTGTATACGTACCACATTTTTTTAATCCAGTCCAGGGCCAGCTTCAATGGGCAGCATGGTTGGTTCCATGTTTTTGCTGTCGGTCACTTCGTCCTGCTGATTTCACCTTTGAAACTGGGCACTCCTTCCTTTTCACTGACTTACCTCCGTGGGTTCTCCCCTTCCCCTCATATAACTTCAGGGCTCCCAAGCCGACTCTGCTGCTTTCCCATCTTTCTCTTTCTAAACTAGAAACCTCATATGGCTCTCCTGTAGTGGAAGGCAAAGTCTGCATTCTTAGAATGTCTTCAAACCCTCTGGGGTCCCCTCCCACTGTGGGAGCTCTTCTGTCTTCTCAATAAATCCTGTTTTCAAAAAAAAAAAAAAAAAAATGATCTTGTAAAATGGAGTTTTGGTTTTTAATTTCAGCCTCTTCCCCCACTGTTCCTTTTGACCCTGTCCCTTGAAAGGAAGCCAGTCATGATCTTGAAAGACACAGTCCTGAACACCATGATCCTGAGTGTTGAAATCCCAAAAGATCAAAATCCTGAAAATATAATTCTGGAAAAAAATAACTTAAGAATTATTTATTTCATATTTTATTTATTTTCTTTCTTTATTTGTTTTTGTTGTTGTTTTTGAGTCAGAGTCTCACTCTGTCACCCAGACTGGAGTGCAGTGGCACGCTCAAGGCCACATCAGTGTTGACCTACTGGGCTCAGGTGATCCTTCTGCCTCAGCCTTCCAAGTAGTTGAAACTACAGGTGTGCACTACCAGATCCAGCTAAGTTTTTTGTCTTTTTGTGATTTATTGTATAGATGAGATCTCACCAAGTTACCCAGTTTGGTCTTGAACCCCTGGGCTCAGGCAATCCTCTCTCCTTGGCCTCCTAAAGTGCTGGGATTGCAGGCTTGAGCCATGGGGCCTGGCCAAGAATTCTTTAAAAGATACTTATTTACATTTTTAAAGGGGGCTTTATTTGAGAAAGGTAGAAGCATGACAGGACACTTTATAGGCTACTTTATGCAAGAAAAGCAAATAACAGCATGCCTTTTTGCGAGTGTAAAGACCCAGGTATGCTAATGACAGTTGCATGGGCATAACTGTTATGTACAGACAAAGCGTATTCATGAAGACATGAGCCAGAAAGGGACAGCTGTACACGCATATTGCCACTCTTGGTGGGTTGTGTGCACCTAGCTGTGTTACTGCAGTCATCTGAAATTCAGGGATGGATAGCCTCGGTCTTTTGAGGTTGGTCACAACCTGCCACGAGTCGTGCAGCAGCCAGAGCCGAGATCATGAGAAGTTCTATCTTTTACTGATACAGCTGTACAGAAAAGTTTCATCTCTTCGTTTATGGAGGGGTTTTGGCCTTTTTGCATACATGCACAATGCTTACACACAAAGTTGTGATAATGCACTTTCATGGAGTCAGATTTGCAAAGAAGGCATACAACAAATGGGACCCTCTAAAAGTTACCACTTATTCGATGCCACCAGTGAATTTCCAGTATTGGAAATGATGTGAAGAGAAATATAATAGCGTAGCAAAAGTGAAAAATAATGCTGACAGTGTAAAACGGTGGGGGGGGGAAGCCTAAAAAAAAAATAGAAAAGAAAGAAACCAAAATATAAGAAAACTCAACCTATGTAAAAGTATATTACAAGGCTGGTAATACACAAAAAGTGCATCGTGGGCAGCTGCATGGAGGTAGTTCATGAGAACTGGCCGAACTCCCCAGTTGTTAGCTGTGCCTTGAAGCCTCCCATCATGATGGCGGCTTCTTTTTGTTCTTTCAGGACATGGCCCTTCTTGGAGGATACGTTCGTGTTCATTTTCTCTGTGGCGCTGCTCATTTTGAAATTCTGTGATTCCTGTGATTGTGGTTTTCGGGGATTTTGACTTTAGTGATTTTAATCTTTGGGAATTTTGCTCTTTTGAGATGCCAGCATTCGAGAATATGGCTGTCAGGATTGTGTTTTTCAGGATTATGATCCAAACCCTTTGACCCACTGGATTTAGCAGCTACTTGTCACTGACCCAAAACAAGGATGAGGAATGGAATATTTGGGGTGCCCTGAGGATCTGTGGCAAACCTTTATTTATTTATTTTTTTAATCAATATTTTTTATTATGATGGGTACAGTTAAGGGTTAGGTATACAATTATGTTTCATTCAGGTACCCTGTTGATAAGAGGTGTTTCCCCATCGCCAGACAGATATTTGCTACTGTTAATCCCATCTCCCTCTCCCCCCCATAGTTTCCCAGTACCGTCAGTCATTTTCTTATAGTATTACATTGGATGTTCAAGGTCCATTATATGAGTGAGAACATGTGATACTTGGATTTTTGTTTCTGTGAGAGGTCACTCAGTATTATAGACTCAAGTTCCATCCAGGTTGCTGTGAAATTCATGATTTTGTTCTTTTTTTATGGCTGCGTAGTATTCCATCATGTATATTACCATATTTTTAAAATCCAGTCCTTTTTTGATGGGCAGCATGGTTGTTTCCAGGTTCTTGCTATTGTGAACAACGCTGCAATAAACATACGTGTGCAGGTATCTTTTTTATAGAGTGATTTGAGTTCTTCAGGATATATTCCCAGTAGGGGGATTGCGGGGTCATATGGGAGGTTGATATTTAGAGCTTTGAGGAATCGCCACACTGCTTTCCACAGAGGTTGCACTAGTTTACACTCTCACCAACAGTGTAGAAGTGTTTGTGGCAAACCTTTAAATGTTGGGAGCTGTGTGGGAATCAGTACCTTGATTACATCTGTAATGGTCCCCACAAGCCCCAGAGTGTGCTAGGCACATCAAAGGGATTCAGCAAATTGATCTTTATTAATAAAAAAAATAAAATTCCTTTGGCCTGATGAAAAGGAACCATGCAGACAAAGGTTTTTATGGATGTCTTTTGTTAGTCCATCATGAATGTGAATTAAAAGAAAACTATAATAAAAAAGGTAGCAGTAGCTCTTTTTTCCCATGATTTTTCCAAGTAAAATATGAATATATTTATCGCGGTCGTCCACCAGCTTCACCTTGATACAATTCATTGTGATAGGAATGCGTAAAATGAACATCTATGGTCGGCCCTTCGTATGTGAACTGTGTTGTGCAGTGATGCTGAGGTCCGTGCCCAGGCAGGGATCTTTACAGTATGCTAAATAAGGAAGCTCTGGGAAAAAGTTCAAGGTCAGATCATTCTAGGACATTCTGGGTAACTGAAGTCAAGTAGATTCCTTTACTGTAGGATTCTCAGAGGCGTTACTCAATATGTTTGTTGTGAAAATCCAAAGAAGGTATAGCGTGTGTGGCTTTCCCTCAACTCTGTTGACAGGTCAAACCTTTTATTCCAAGACACTCCTGTCTCCTTTGTATATTTCATAGAACAAATGTTGCCTAGGAGCTTTGAGAAACAGTAGTATAACATACTAGAAAATAATGCATTTAAAATGTAGATCTAGCCATAGACATTCTAGCTTATTCTTTTTAAAAAATATGAGAAGTTAAATGTTAAAACTTTTTCTGATTTTGATGTCGGATACAACACGGTCCCCATGCTTTTGAGTTTCTTGAGAATTGCTTTGTGAAAATGGGTGACTTTTTATATACTTTGTGTCCGGTTTAAACTGAATAATTTTCTGTCGTTTTATTTTACTCTTGCACATAGTGAAAAACAAAATAAAATATCGAGCTGAAGCCTGCATTAAAATGCAAAAAACGATTCGAATGTGGCTTTGCAAAAGGAGACACAAACCTCGGTAAGATGAATAGTGCTAAAAAGAGACCCCCCCAAAACCTCATTGTCCTAATATCAAATGTCAAGAAAGTCATAATGAAAAGCTATTTGGATACTGAGGGAGTTTTCTTGTGTTCTTTGTAAAATGATATATTAGTCTGTTGTTTGTAATATTAATTTGAAATTAGTGCCTTTATTACTTGCCTCATTTTCTACAAGAGGATTCAAAGTGGCTTGCATCAATGTGTAAACACTGTAGCAGGTTGAAAAAAAATGATTGAGAGACTCTTTTACTCTGATTATTTTAGTTTGGGTTTCTTGATAATGTCAGGGTAGCATTTTTTAAAAACACTAATATCTTTACCACAACATTCAATATAATCTGTAAGAATTGTATTGTCTCACTATAAATGTGTTCTTTATTTCTTATTTGAATCTTTTGTTATTAATTTAGACCTTTGTTTTTAGTCGGGGTGTTACCCTGTCACCCAAGCTTGAGTGCAATTGCACCATCACATCTCACCACAGCCTCGACCTCCTGGGGACGGGCAATCCTTTTGCCTCAGCCTCCCCTGTAGCTGGGACTACAGGCGTGTGCCATCACTCCTGGCTGATTATTTTTCGATTTTTTTTGTCAAGATGAGGTCTCACTAAGTTGCCCAGGCTGGTCTCAAACTCCTGGGCTCAAGTGGTCCTCCTACCTTGGCCTCCCAGAGTGCTGGGATGATTTAAAGTTTTTAAAGTTGGAGGCCTGAGTATCTATTGATCCATTACACCTTTCAAATTAAGTCCCTTTGCAACTTGAATTCTCAGAGCTTACAGTCTAAATATAGAAGGCTTTACTTCTGTTGACAGGCACCAATGCCATTTACACTCATATTTGATTATCTTAACCTTCCACAAGAGATCTAAAAAAAGAGAACGCTAGATAATATTGAAAATGACTGAAATGTCTTGTTGAGTGATATCTGTTGAGCATTTTGTGAGTGAAGAATCTGCCTAAGGCATGAAACGCAGACATTAAAGTCTGATGGCGGGTTGTCTTCGCAGCATCGATGGCCTGGTGAAGGTGGGCACACTGAAAAAGCGGCTAGATAAGTTTAATGAAGTGGTAAGTGTGTTGAAAGACGGAAAACCCGAGGTGAATAAGCAGATCAAAGAGCTTGAGATTTCCATTGACGCACTGATGGCCAAAATTAAGGTATGGAATTCTGGCTCTGATGACTTTGACTTTTCCTATCACTTCGTATCTTTTTGTGACTGGCATTGAAATTGTGTAGAAACAAGTCCTCACGTTTTCAAGTGGAAAATCTTAACAGGTGCTGAGTCTGAGTGATAGCCAGTAGGTGCTTGTTAGATTATTACCTCTGCTCGTCTCTTCATAGAAAAAGATGAAAGACAATTTTTATGTAGTTTCATCTGTAGCTAGGAGAGATACCCCCCCCCAAAATGAGTAACTAATACACTCACCATCTTGCGCTGGTAACTTTTTGCATAATCATAACTTAGGATGAAGGAACATTCTTTTGTTTGATGCTTTTCTACCTCCCGAAACTCATTTTTTAAATTTTTACTTTATTTTATTATTTATTTATTTATATTTTTGAGTTGGGGGTCTCCCTCTGTCGCCTAGGCTGGAGTGCAGTGACAGGATGACAGCTACCACAGCCTTGACCTGCTGGGCTCAGGTGATCCTTACATCTCAGCCTCCCAAGTAGCTGGAACTACAGTCGTGTGCCACCCCACCTGGCTAGTTTTTGGACTTGTTATAGAGATGAGGTCTCACCATGTTCCCCAGCCTGGTCTCGAACACCTGGGCTCAGACAGCCCTCTCACCTGGGCCTCCCTGAGTGCTGGGATTATAGGCGTGAGCCACCGAGTCTGGACAGAAGCTAATTTTTAAATTATAAAAGTAATGTAATATTACTGGAGATTTGGAGAAAACCGCCAAAAAACTCATAATACCTCCACACTCATATTCAACTGGTGTATTGTTGTACGTCCCTCTTACAAGTCTTGTTTCCTATGTGTACATTTTAATGTAATTCTTATCATAATGTATATTTCAGTTTTGTATCCCTACCACTATGTTATATGGCTTATCCATATTAACACCCTGTCTTCACAGAGGCTGTTAAATAATTTACTTATTAAAGTAGCAGTTAATTTCTTCTACAATTTTGTAGGGGGAAAAATAGGGCTATGTTTTTGTTTTGATTTGTATTTGATTACTAGTGGGGTTTAAGATTTTTCCCATATGCTTTTTTGTTAATCATATTTCATCTGTCTTTTCCTATTTTTTCTCAATTATATTTTAGGGTCTTAATGCTTTTCTCAGCTAGTTTCATAGGTCAGCGCAATTATGTGGGATATAATAAGTACCTTAAAGTATGCCTTTCATATTTTCTGTGGATATTTTACATAGACAATGATAAATCTTGAAGATAGAAGGGAGAAAAAGGTTCCAGAGAGGAATGAAAATATTATAAATAGACTTAGCTGATCATCGTCAATGAAAATTAGCCACAATTTTTGAGGGTTAATTTAGGAAAATCATCCAGTAATTTTGGATATATCTAGTAATTTCTTCAATATTTCTTACGTACTATTTGGATACTATTGTTATTATTATTATTATTATTTTTGAGTTGGAGTCTCACTCTGTCACCCAGACTGGAGTGCAGTGGCCGCTCCCGGCCACCGCAGCCTCGACCTGCTGGGCTCCGGCGATCCTTCCACCTCAGCCTTCCGAGTTGCCAGAATTACAGGCATGCACTATCACGCCCGGCTGATTTTTTGATTTATTGTTGAGATGAGGTCTCGCTGCCCAGGCGGGTCTCGAACTCACGGGCTCAGGCAATCCACTCACCTCAGCCTCCCAAAGGCGCGGGATTACAGGCTGAGCCACCAAGCCCGGCTTGGACATTATTATTAAAGAGTAGTAAATGCTGGCTAATTCAGCAAACCATTGCTGAAAATGTATTTTTTAGCTACAGTACACCTGTAGATATTGATTACTTGATTAATAGAAAATATAGAGTCCAATATTTGCATACAGAGATAACTTTTAAGAAATTCTGATTCCGGCTACTTGGAAGGCTGAGGCGGAAGGATCGCCGGAGCCCAGCAGGTTGAGGCTGCGGTGGCCGGGAGCGGCCACTGCACTCCAGTCTGGGTGACAGAGTGAGACTCCAACTCAAAAAAAAAAGAAATTCTAAATACTGTTTAATGGGCAAACAGTATAGCAAAAACAGTGGGCTTATTGTTCACCAGCTCTCATTTTTTTGCTGTATATGTGCATATTGGAGTTGTTTTTTTAACCACTGTGGTAAAAAGCACAATCAAAAAATGTTAAAATGCATCATTTTAACTATTTTTGAGTGTGCGGTTCAGTATTGCTAAGCGTACTCATAACTTCTCAAATACCTGTTTATTGTTTTGTAATTCAAGTCCACCATGATGACAAGGGAACAGATCCAGAGAGAATATGATGCCCTGGTTAGAAGTTCAGAGGAACTCCTCAGTGCATTGCAGAAAAAAAAGCAGCAGGAAGAGGAGGCGGAAAGGCTGAGGCGCATTCAAGAAGAAATGGAAAAAGAAAGGAGAAGACGGGAGTTAGAGGAACAGCAGCGAAGAAAGGAAGACGCCGAAAGGAGGATGTGAGGCCCTGGTGGTGGTGTTTCGAAGTAGAAACTCAGCAGTGAATTCTTGGTGTTGATGGTGGTTAACGACCATTCGTAAAACTGTATTCTTACCTTGAGGAACTCATTTCAGAGTCAATTTGAAATCATTTTATAGTAATGATGACACAGAATGATTTTAACTATAATCTGGATTTTGGTTGGGCTCTTACACCCGAGAATTTCTTAACTTCTTTTTAAAGCTAGGACTTTTCTGTATTTTATAAACTAGAGAAAAGACACTTAGATGTTTCTGCGGTTTTAAAACTGGTAACATTTCGGGAGATGACCATAATCGATTAGAGAGAAGGAATGTGAGTTTTTCAGCACTTGTAATTAGGATCTTGAAGCCAAGTTGATCTAGAGATGTCAAAGTTTATAGAATGTCATTATATCAGTTTTATTTAAGAAGAATTACTCGGCTGGGTGCCGTGGCTCACTTCTGTAATCCCAGCTCTTTGGGACGTGGAGGCAGGAGGATCGCTTGAGACCCCCCTGGGCAACATAGCAAGACCCTGTCTCTGCAAAAAATTTTAAAAATTAGCTGAGAGGTATGGTGGCACACGCCTGTAGTCCTCCTAGCTACTTGGGATGTTGAGGTGAGTGAATCACTTGAGCCCAGGCCGCAGTGCGGTGAGCTGTGGTCCTGCCACTTCATTTCACTGGGTGACAGAGCAGGACCCTGACTCTTGGGGAAAAAAAGAAGAAAAAGATTTACTGTCAGTAAAGTTTGATTTTATTTTATTCAGAATAAGTTGATATATGTAGCCAGGAGGGTCATCTGAGCTCCCAGAGTGTTCCCTTTGTGTGTTAAGAGTCAGATTGCCTTCTGAAGGATTCCTTATTCTCTATTAAATATTTGAAGAATTTTCTATTTTTTTTTTTTTGGTTAGGAAACTTGAGATGGAAGCAAAGAGGAAACAAGAAGAAGAAGAGAGAAAGAAACGGGAAGACGATGAAAAACGCATTCAGGTACGTACTTACTGGCCTGGATCTCTAGCAAAGTGGACTCTCCAAGTTATGAAAGAAGTGAAAATGCAATTTTTGACTTGCTAGCCAAGCTGTCACTGGTTCATCCCAGAGACCAAAGGCAGTTTTTGAAGTGGTTAGGGGAAGGGACTCTGGAGCTGGGGAAGTCGGTTCAAACCAAGGCTGTGTTACAGACAGAAATCTCGACACGACATATGTCCTAATGAATAACTGGGCTACAGTTTCTCTCTGTGAAATGTGGATAAGTATAATAATAGTTGTTAGCATTAATGCGTTAGCACATGCGAAAGCAGTGTCTAGCTCAATAAATACTCATATTATTCTTACGACTAGGAGGTCAGACGAATATTCGCATAAGCATTATCACGTTTTAAGATATCATTGTGCTTTGTAGATGCATTGATAAATTAAGGTCAAGATATCTTCTCCACTCCTGGTTTTTATTTTTATTTTATTTTATTTTAGATTTTTTTTTTTTTGAGTTGGAGTACCACACTCACAGCCACCCCAGCGTCCACCTGCTGGGCTCTGGCGATCCTTCCAAGTAGCCGGAACTACAGGCACGCGCCACCACACCTGGCTGATTTTTGATTTATTGTAGAGGTCTCGCCAAGTTGCCCAGGCAGGTCTCGAACCCTCGGACTCAGGCAGTCCACTTGCCTCGGCCTCCCAAAGTGCTGGGATGACAGAGCCAGGCCTTCATTTTTATTTTATTTTATTTTAGATTTAAGGAGTACACGTGCAGGCTTGTTACATGGGTATGTCGCATGATGGTGAAGTCTGGGCTTCATGAAGCCCGCCACCCAAATGCTGTGCACGGAACCCAGTGGGTAGTCTTCTTACCCTCGTCTCCCCACTCCTTCCCCCTTCTGAAGTCCTCAGTGTCCTCCCAGCCTTATGCCCGTGTGTGCCCAGCCTTTGGCTCCCACGTATAGCTGAGAACACGTGGTTTTCGGATTTCTGTTTCTGTGTTCATTCTCTTAAAATAAGGGTCTCCAGCCATGTCCTGTGGCTGCAAAGGACTTGATTTCATTGCTGTTCCTGGCTGCGTAGTATTCCATGGTGTAGATGCCCAGGATTTTGTGATCAGTCCACGGTGGCTGGCACCTAGGCGGGCTCCATCCCACCCCCAGTTTTTAAAACACTCCATCTGGGCATCATCGATCCATGCAGTTGAGTTCCTGCTCTTCATGGCTTCTGTAGTTACACCCTGTGCCTAAATGGCCCGAGTCCTTCCATCTCCTGGCTGCACAGGGTGTCGGTGCCCTGCCCGGGAGGCTTGTGGGACGCTGGGGGTGCTGATGTCGCAGTCGTAGAGTCGTGGGGCCGGGCACTGGGGGGCGGGGGGAGGAAAGGTGGGGACGGATCCGCCCAGCACGAGTCGCCCTCC